TATCATTTTGAAATTAACTGTACATTGTAGTCTTTTAAATTTAAATGCATTGGCTGCAGTTGTATTAACAAAAATATTAGCGAAACAAAGTAACCACAATTAAATGATATCATATTCGACATTCAAGTATAATCTTTCATAAGCATTAGCTTAATTATTATGTCACTGGTTTACTGTATGAAAATTGTTTGGTCTTTGGGCCCGGATCAGTGGGTTTGAGTGCTATATTTTCCTTGAATACTTAAATTGTTCAGATGTGTGTTGAGGAACATCAGTCATTGATAAAATAGAGAAAAAAAGAACCATAAAGAAAGTCCAAAACGGCAAAATTGAAAATGTTGCAGGTTCCATTTGATAAAGTCCAAATTAACACTGTCCCGGTAATGGCCACGGTATCGCTACTGTGTCTTAAGCTGGTGAACCGAGGTGTTCCGTGGTGTTTTTCTGAGAAATCAAATTGCGTTTACACATCCCCGACAGAGCCCAGGTGTATTCCCGGTTCAGAACCCGATATAGCACCGGATATATACGATAAGCGCCGATGCTAAATAGGTGTATTCCCGCTTGATTCCGGTGGAAACCCGACTAGACACGGTTTCATCACGGTCCATCCCGACCATCGCCGTTTTTGCCACGGTAATGCTATTGGTGATGCCGGTACTGTGCCGGTGACGCCCTGGTAATGCACCGATGCTTCCTGTTCAAGTTTATGAGAATAAAATGACTGACCACGTTGGCATCAGTCATTTGGTAAAAAGACAGCAGAGATGCCATCCGAAGGAAAGGGGATGGAAGTTAGAAAAAAACTGTGTCTACAACACCTTCAGAGGTTGAGGTACCTGAAGCTGAAAATGCACCAGCTGAAGAATTTTTCCTTCTCTCATTTAAAAAATTGTCCATGGTCGTGTTCCTTCTCTAAACAACATGATCCAAAGTAGCACTTCAAGTTTATATATTCCTGTTCTTTAAATTTCCTGTATCGGCATGAGGTCGTTACACCACCGTCTATCATCGTTGTATAACTGTACTTGTCTGCAATATCCGGGACATTACCGGCTCCAACCGGAGCGTTATTGCCAGTGACCTAAATGTACCCTGGCTCTACCGTAGCTCTGCCTGTTTTACCGTGACAACATCGCGTCATCACCGGGACTTTGCCGTTTGGACATTGATTGACACGCATCCCGGTTTACTACGATTTGTCACGGTATGGATGCAGTATAGATACGGTGGTGTCCCGGCAATTCCCTGTTCCAAGCCGATAGAACACGGATTTGGGCTTCCTCTCGGTGAGTGCCGGTATCAAACAACGACCCAATGCCGGTTTACCACGGTCAGATAATACAAGAAAACGAAATAGCTTGCAACTGAAGTCCGCTCGTATACAAGCAACTTTCAAGGTTATACAAAGTGTTTGATAAAACGGCTCATATACTGAATGAAAAACACTTTTCTATGGCAAGCTTACATTTTTCTCCGAAGAATAGTGCATATCCCAAAGAAATCGGTGCAGAAATAAAATACTTACGGCTATTTTCCTTTTCGAATCGAGCAATATTTGTCTTGGAAATGATGCCGAAAATGACATGCAGGTCACGTGGTATTGCTACACTGTGTAATATACATGTAGTTATCTATAGTGTTTTAATTATTTTGGTAGATTCCAATCAATATCGATTTTATTTATTTTATAGGTGAAGATTGTAGAGGAAGACTTTTACTGCTTCCTCCACAAATAAATTTTAACAAGATATGTACTTTGTTGCAAAAACTTATGACCTTACGATCATCGTCATAATTATGAAAGTAATTATCGTTCCTGGCTGAAGTCGAATCCATGGCAATAAATGGGAATTTTCGAGTGATCAACATGACTTGTTATGTTAATTTCAAGAAATTGAAAATAGAAGTCTTCGAGTAGTCCTAAGTCATTTGTTGCACAAGCTTTTTCAAGTCAACATATTCAAGGTCAGGGTATCGCATTGTAACATGGCCAGCGATTGGCAAAGTGCAGGGTTAACCATATGATTAATTTATACATGAGGTGATTGGATGACAATGGGGTATTTTTAAGTATAAAAACTAATTTAGAAAGTAACACTACATTGTTTTCTGAAGAAAATTAAATATTTCATGAGTCTCTATGATAATTTTGACTTGGATATTTGCATTTATAAAAAGTGTATGTCAGAAAATTTCAATAAAATGGGGGGTAATCCTCTTTGTAGTCATTTTGCAAAAAATTTGGTTGGCTACCCCTATATAACAGGAACATTTTTATGTGTCAGGCATTTCATTCTGCTAGGAAAATCACCTCTTTAGCATGAAAACTCAATTTTAAGGTAGGAGTAGGGACCATTTCTTATAATGTAAGTCTATGGAAATATCAATGTGAGTGTCTGACCTCAAACGCATTACCAATGTGTTAGAGCTCAGTTATTTTGCCTACTTCACGTGAATTAGTTTATACATATTATAAAGAAAGTTTTAAATACAATCTTACCACAATTTGTCCATGTAAACTTGGCATTTGCGGCTAGGAAAAGGAAAGAAAGAATTATTCCGATGAATATTTTAATCATGATGCCGGCTGTTCGTGTCACTGTGCCAAGTGTTTATTACTTTGAAAGGAACTTACGACTGCACTGCTTTATCAAATAGAGGTCATTGCACTGACCCTAAAGATAAGACATCATGTTGGAACACACGTTAATATACATGTACTATAGTCTATAATTCGTCGTATGACGATGTATAATTAGCGTAACGAAATCGACTAAAATATCATTTTTGTTTCATGTTGTTTTTTTTTTTAATCACATAAAAACAACCTTCGCGTGAGGCAGTATTAATATTTAAACCATTATGGTAGCAGGATTAACAGCAGAAACACGTGAATATAATTGTTTACTTTTTTTTACTAATAAGGAACTAAACACACTTGGGGAGTACGGATAACGTCGCAAAACAACAATCGGCAAATAATATGAAACTTATTTTTTTTATCATAAATTGTCTATGAAAATGAGTTTGGTAGAATTTGAGATTCATCAGCAAATGGTATTTCAACGTGTTAAAGATAAATTAATTCATCACGTGGTTTTGTCATCTCTGTCAGGACAGAGATCTTGCAGACGATATATTGGTCATGTGACGCCTCACGATTCATTACAATATAATGTCCTCATTAAAGACCTATTTCATAACATTTTGTATTTTTATTATCAGGTTACATAAAACAATGTAAGTATGACATCACATGTAAGTAATCATTAGATGCTCCTGGATAATTATAGAACAGAGCGTGTCGTCTGCGGCTATATGTAAATCTTAGATCCCCTTACGAAAAATTGTGTGTGTATTTTTAATTGCTAAATGTACGGAAGCGTCCTGGTGCCAATTCAATATGCTCTATAAAAAATAACTCCTGCGTAGGACTTTGTAACTCCTACGTAGGAGATAAAAAAAACCTAATTAGGAGTTTTGAAGTCCTACGTAGGACTTTCAAACTCCTATGTAGGACTTTATATCTCCTGCTTAGGAGTTAAAAAAAGCCTAATAAGGAGTCCTACGAAGGAGTTTAAAAGTCCTACGTATGAATTTATAACTTCTACGTAGGACTTTATATGTGTTTCTCTACTTAGGAGTTATAAAGTCCTACGTAGGAGTTATAAACTCCTAATTAGGCTTTTTTTTATCTCCTACGTAGGAGTTATAAAGTCCTACGTAAGAGAAAGGTACAAAGTCCTACTTAGGAGTAATCTTTTTTTTATAGAACATGTTAAATTGGCACCACGACGCTTCCGTATTTATAAATGTGATCAAATGGAAGCCTTAAAAATCCTCTTACTGCAATCACAATGCAAGCATATATTACACGGCCTTAAATCTTCTTTATTTACTTCGAAAAATTTAGCGAGCATATTAAATATAATTAATTTTATTAAATGGACACAACTATTCAACACTTTAACTAAATCCCCGCAGCGATTACCTCCCCTGACTCCTGTTTTGATAACAAATATATATATTAGAAGTCCATGTACCTGAAATTAAAACTTAAAGGTACAATTGTATTTTTAAGCTATCGGTCTCGCTGTTATTATTATTTAATTTTAGTATAGTATGTTTTTGGGTGTCTTTCTACTTTGGCCGGGAACCTTCATGTTTGCTGGAAGCAATAAGCTTATAGATACACTTCCGAACCCCTCCTGGAACCTACCAGTACTAAGCAATGAATTTAAAGATTCTTGCTCAAAGTTGTTTTGCCCCTGATGGGGGTTTGTTTCAGACACGAGAATGTATCACAATACCACCGAAGGCTTGCTAGAATTGTAGTTTTGATCGATTTGATCCTTTAAATTTCCACATCCATGCAGATGTTACAATTGATTATAGTGTTTGTGTAGAAATAGAATTAAAAAACCTTGTAAAGTTGGAGAACACTTTGAATACCGACAAGAAGGAAGTTCAGCGAATAAAAGCAAATATATCTATACAGGGCACCCACCACAAGTCTCTCAGAGAAAATTCCGAGACTGGGGCTCAAGTCTTTAAGTCCGTGGGAAGGCTTAGAGATTTGAAGCTGGTTCGATTATGTTGAGGTGTGGGGGCCGGGTATTTTAATTAAGATTTCTGGTCAACTGTTAACCAAAGTGATGATTGAGTTATGCAGCATACATTGACGGGAGGGACGGAATTGAAGGCTGCAATTATGAAATGTTTATCAGTTTTTATATACTTCAGATAAAACCGCATCTGTACTGTATTGTCAGAAAGCATGATTGCTGCCTTTCAAATGTAGTAACCGATTTTTTAAGCGAGTATGTGCCCGAATTTGGAAAAAAATAACTCGAGTGTGCAAATGATCTGAAATCTTGCACTCGAGTTTAGCCATCAAATAGTAAGCAAACCTCAGTGGAGTCACTAAAAAGTGCATGTGTTCTTATAAATGGTAAGATGTCCACTGGTTAAAACAATGTGGTTAAATGAGCAACAACTTGTTTTTAAAGCAAACTGATTTTTTTATTGATTGCTTGATAATGATATAGCAAGGCGAAAAAAAGTGTTCTTAACATTTCAAATATTTGACATGATCTTGAAAATCAAGTAAGCAAATTCCTCTAGCTAAAGTATGATATCAAATGCCTGTATTTTAGTTTCCTCTGAATATATCTAAATTTTAAGATATCTTATATACAATATACTAATCAGTTGTTGTAAAATCCCTTTTTATATGTATACATTCTCAGTAAACAACCTCCTGTACAAATGTGTAAATGAAGAACACAAACTGTGATATCCGTTAACAATAACACAAATGTAGGTATAAAATCAGTATACAAAATTATGTTAAAGGCCCAAACCGAATTATCTTAGATATTTAGAAAATTCAAATAATTTTTAATTTATTCATACAAAATACTTGTAAAAAATTATCAAAGAATATTTGTTACCAATTTCTAATTCTAAGACAGGAATAATTTTGAGTTTCATGAATGAGTTGCCAGTTTTTCATGCTTTGATTTATGAATTTTCAATATTAAGAAGTTAAATAATATTGTTGTAATATTGGGCCTTTAAACACTATCTTTCTAACAGTAATAAACTTTATAAAAAATCAACCTGATATTTACAATCTTGCCACTTCTATCATATAACAGGTATTTTTCATTGGTTGCAAATAGTGAATGTAATCAAATATAACGTCAATGGTTAAATATACATGTAGTAGCATAATGTATTATGGCAGCTTTTTGTAAAACCCTAATAAAGGTTGAAAGATCTATGGCTGAAAAATGGCACTTTTTATCTTCAGATGTCCATCTTACTAAATGTATTAATACTTATTTAAACATGTACTAAAGGCTGATAAATTTGCCCCTGTTTTAGCTGTTTCTATATTTCCCTCGACCTATTCATGCACAATGGTTGTGGATAGTTCCTGTTCCAACTGTGGCCAACAATAAATGAATGATTAATAACTGCCAGACAAGATAAAAAGTAGTTAGTAATGCCATTGTTAACATACTTCTCTTTCACCTTATCACCTGTTGTATCAACTAACGATCATTTTCTGCAGCAACAGCCAAGATGTGGATAGGCCAGATAAATGAAGCTTATTGGAAAATTAAATCAGGATTTCTGAAACGTGAAAAACTAGAAAATAAATGTTTGTTAATTAACATGGAACATAAATGTCTTCAATGAACAAAACAAAACTTTCCCCATCGTTTTTTTAGATCTCTTATGATAGCGTAATCTTGCTTTTGGTCTTCTGTATTTGTCAATGGTTTTCCTCTTGCTAATACACATTCACTGCAAACAGGCCTAAACTCAGCTCTTCATTCTTTATGGTTTGTGTTAAAACAGACTTTTTTTAATTTCTTCATGTTGTAATATTATTTCAATTACTTCAAACTTATTTATAAACGTTTGGTTACGTATTCATTCTAGAATATTTTCTTGATGTCAAGAGTTATCTTTCATTACTTCAAAATTGCAGATTTTAATACCATTGACAAAACTTTCTTTAACACTGATAGGGTCTTATTTCCCATCTCCCCTTTCTTTTTCAACTGCCACAACTTGTTTATCTTTCTTCAAATCTTTTTTCAGATGATCTATCGGTATTAGATGCTCCTTAGGGGCAACAACCGTTGGCTGGACTGGAGCCTCGATTTGGAGAACGCCATCATTGGTTAGACTGGACTGCAGCTTTTTTGGATCCACGTTTTCCGGAAGTGTGCACTCCCTGAAGAATTCTTGGTAAAACTTACGGCCATCTTCTTCGTGAGCGTGTCTTGCATGGACTTTCAATGTGTTGTCTTGGGTCTGCACGGTTATTTCATTTGGCTTGAACTTGCTGCAGTTAAACCTCAAGCTAAATTTATGTTGCCCTTTTGGATCTGAAGTAAACAAAATACATTTGATTTAAGTATTGCTGCAGTTTAAATTACTTTGACAAAGCAAGTTCGCAAGGTCCTAATGTTAGCTGTTTTGCAATGCTTAGCTGAGCGACAAGAGCGGCGTTTTCTTTTATCGTCAATTTCTTTTTTTTTACCGTGACAGCCACCTTTTAGTACACCAACATTGCTTTATATATAATTAAATTGTGAACTCATCAATATACATGACAATTCCACAGACACACGAGGGAGGTTTTCTGAACATTCATTTTAACCGGTATCTGTAAACTTTGTAAGACTATACGGAATTTGTACCGTATGTTCCGGCGATGAAATTTCGAATGTTGAACTAAATAATCAGCCCTACCTACTTTACGAAAATGCAAAATAATTCAATACTCGCCTCAGTAATATTTACATATTTTCCGTTCATTAAATTTCCAGGAGAACAAAGGTATGCTTACGTCATAAATTATCGAATTCTTACAGAACCGGACATAAGTTGTTCATTAAATTTCCAGGAGAATAAACGTATGTTTTCGTCATAAATTATCGAATTCATACAGAACCGGACATAAGTTTACAAAAATGAAATTTATGTAATTCATAAATTAATTGATAAATATTATTGATAAATTGAGATTTTTCTCTAAGACAGCGTTATTAAAGTCTTGATAACTGAGTGGGACGAAATAACTGAGGGCAACGAACCACGATCTTGTATAGTATTTTTTTTCACATCCATAACTTTGTCCAAAAATTAAATCATTATATCTTCAGTTCTCAACATCTAATGTAAATCTTTTGCAATTAGTTCTAGGTTGACCCAAATATTGACTAGATTAGTAATCTGACATAATACAGGAAGGTAAATAATCAAACACCGACAAAAATCCTTCAAATGTTTTTGTTTGTTTTTATTTTCTCCTTCTTCTAATAAACATTTGATATTAAAATTTTAGGCTTAAATCGGCAATTATAAGATTTTACTTTTCAACTCATTCTGTAACTGTGTAGTATGTACACACGTATCATACAAAAGTTTTGTAACAAAACAAAATATTGACATTCGAGTGTTAGGTATGCCAAAAAATCCTTGTCGGACGGTGATTCTGTAATGCTTGTCTATCAGAACAAATACCCCCCCTAGATTAATAAGCGCAAAATTTATTTCTTATTAAGATATTATTGTGGTATATGCGTAAATCATGCACATACGTCCGTAAACTAGAACAATGCACAAGAAGATTTTAGACCGTCCATGTTGTATAGGGTGCACAGTACAGTCTCGGAACGCCCAGATATATTTACACAAAAGACATTGATAAGTATAAATAATCACCCATTAAAGTTTAGAAAACAATGTGCCACGCATGGCCCAGCTAAAAGCAACCGCGGAAACAGTGAAGAAAAAAGGGCCATAAAAGCCAATTCAATTAATAGTACAATGTAATAGCCACTAAAACAATTCATCACAACATATCTTTCAATCACCTGTACATTTTTTGTAAAACTGTGTACGTTTAACATGTTTAAAGCCAATGACTTTTAATAGTTTTTAGGTGTGTAGATAAACAGCTATATCAAGGTCGAGGTCATTGACCGGGCGCAACCTTTTAAATCAAGATATTGATTCATAAACTCTCCACCAATTACTTTATCAGAATAGAATAGAACAGAACAGATTTTTTTACTTTGTTTAAGCATACCTAGGCTAATTAATGGTTTATCAAAGCAATGTGACTACAAATATTTCACGTTTAACTTTTTTTTTAAATATTATTAATGGTAATATACTAATATGCAAAAAAAATAAATTAAAAAATCCTAATTCATATTCATTGTAGTATAAATACATCGAACCTGTGAAAAGTCACCTTAAGATGAGAAAAACATGGCCTTTATACACAAAATGTCTTTATTTGAGATCTTTATCCACAGGTGGTCCTTAACACAGGTTGAACTGTACTGTATAATTAACAATATGATCAACACAAGTCAATACAAATAACAAAATGTAAATAACAAGAGCAACACCATTTCTTTTAATGTGGTGTCATATATTTGATCTGCAGCCATATTATCAAAACACCAAATAGAAAACAAATAAATCTTTTTAAAGATTCAAATCATTGATTGATAAGATATTAAAATGTAGTTAAATGCTTACAGGCAATGAACCAATATATCTTTTCTCAAAATCGTGTTTACATGAATAACAATGAAATGTCTTATTAGTGAAGTAAAACATGAAAGTGAGTTCGCTTGCACTAAAACCCGACATAATTTATGCATATTGAAAACATGACTTGTGTATTTCACTAATAATTTCATAATTTAGAATCTACCATGAAATAACTGTATCTTGCTGGGTGTTGTAAGGATACAAACGTTGATAATACTGGTACAGTAGAGTAAAAAAATGAAAAGAAAAAAACGCCAGAAAACAGTTCGTACACTTTTAAGATGGATACGTGACATGTACATCTTGTTATGATATTAGAAGCTCATGTATATACCCCACGCAGTCCTTGACCTATATTAAGTACGTACGTACGTACGCACGTACGTACAGCAGAACCGTTTCATATTTGAGCGAATAATATATGCCATGCAAAAAATTCTGAAACACAATGTTGAATAAACATTGGCACAACTGTGCGCTATTTACAGATCAAATGCAAACAATGAAGATATTAAATTTCATTTTCTTATCGTAATGGTATTAACAGATGCTTTTTTTTTCTACTGTATGTAAATCATTATAAATTTAAATCATTCTGACATAATGCATTAAGCCTACCTGTAATGAAAGGCTGTCGTAAATCCAGATTCACTGGTTGTTCGTCCATCCGAAGCATTTCTCTCCGAATCTTGTCCAGTTCCTTATCAAACCGGATTCGGGACTCTTCAAAACTCCCCATTCGCCAGTCATCGTCAAAAAGATGCAGCCATTCCGAGAACAAATCTCGCTGTCGGTCAAAATATCCAAAATCCCACTTTGATAGCGGCACAATATCCCAGGACATGTTTTAGCAGGATGTTCACTCGATGTTGTACGGTGATTTTACTTCTCTAACGCTCTCGTGCGGGTTCTACATTGAGGTGAAAAAAAAGTAGAAAACATTAGTTCTATTTTTAGACAGCAATACTCTTTAAAGGTTAACTATCTCAACAGATGGATTGATTTTTCTTTCTATGGTGTGTAATCACAAATCCACATTTATAAGAATGATTTTATTTTATGTTAAACATATTTTGTTATATGTCTGCATAATTTTGGGAGCAAATAAATAAACAGTACTTACCAATCTATCTTTTACTCCGGTTGTCTGAAGCAATTTTTAGTATAGATTGTTCACCTTTAACAAAAAATGAGCATGCGCATTCACCGTCGCTAAATTTATCTCAAGAATAGAAAAAATGAATGCAAAAACTTATCATTTAGCCATATAAAACAATTAATTTTCAATAATTTTGATGCTGCAGAATTAAAGGAAAGATAGATCGATAAAATGGCTAAATTTTTCTGATTCACAATTTTACGTAACACGGATACTGCGTCAGAGAGAATTCTCTAGAAGCATCCAATATGCTGTACATGTTTATCGTCCTTGAATGTTCGCGAATGTTCTATTTTTAACTAGGTATTTTCCGTCTTTTCGCCAATATATAAATAGACCGCGATCATGCACACGGAAGTCAAACTAAATTCAAACAGCTGATTTTCACCAGAGCAAAGAAAATTGCAGAAAAGTAAAAGTAATTATGTCTATGCTACCGCATTCGAGGTTGAATTTTGGATATTTTGACCGACAGATGGACTTATTTCCGGACTGGGTGCATTTGTTTAACAATGACTGGCGCATGGCAAATTACACGGACTCTCGGCTTCGGTTCGGTCGTCTGCTGGAAAAAGTCCGACGAGAAATGGAGAGAATGGACGTCCAGCCTATCAACATGGATTTACGAAATCCATTTATAACAGGTAAGTTGATCCATAGATTTCTTTACTCTTTTTTTTTGTTCATATTAATAGATCTATATTTTTCCTCAGCCGGGGTTTGACTCAATGGAAGAGATACAATATAGTAAAATGCATGTTTATAGAGGTGACAGTATGGTAAATATTGTAGATCTATGTGTTTATGTATATTTTCCTGAATAAATCGACATGGAATATCTTACGTTTCACTGTATGAACAGTAAAGTTATGTTGTTTCGATAATCTTATGGTCTTCATGAGTTGATATGCTAACGAATGAAATGTCCTGGAGCAAAATATTTATATCAGTGCTCTCTTAAGTAGGCAATGGTGACGTGCATGCGCAATTTGCTCATACCTATTTCTTTCATTTTTGAAGTGTCCTTTCTTTCAAAATGAAAATTACACACATAGCTTTATGTATATACTTTGCCGCAAAATATCTATACATATATGATTTTAATTCATTTTTTATAGATCCCGAAGGTCAGCACAAATTCACCCTTCGCTTTGACTGCAGTCAGTTCAAACCGGACGAAATAAGCGTGAAGACACATGACGGCCGACTTCGCGTGCACGCAAAACACGTGCACGAAGAAGATGATCGCAAAGTGTATCAAGAGTTTTATAGGGAGTGCGTACTTCCGGAAAATGTTGATCCAGAAACGCTAAAGTCATGTCTCACCGAGGATGGCGTTCTTCAAATCGAGGCTCCTGTTCCGAGCACAGTTATTGCACCAAAAGAACATTTGATTCCAATTGAGCATCTTAAAAGGGACACTAGAAAAGACAGACAGGTGGTACCATTTACGGAGGAGGAAGATGGTCAAAGTCCTCAGTAAACGACTGTAGTCTTTATGGATATAATGATATCATTGAAAGTGACGCAAACAATAGTCATACAAACTTGTTTATTAAGAAAAAAGAAAACAGTTTTGTAGTCTAGATCTAAGTTTTAAGCAATACTTACGCATTGTTTTTTGTTATGTTTTCAAAGGTATATAATCTTATTCTATAGGACTTGAACTTTGTGTAAATAGATACTGATTGAAGAATGTATTTTATGGATAAAATTATGAAGAAAAGGGAAAAATGAATATTAATACAGGAATGTAATTAGTCAATAAGTTTAAGATGTAAAACTAGAATTAGTTTGGTCAATACTAATATTAAAGAAAGAAATAAATATGTAAAAATACATTGGATTATTATTATTATTTTGATAATTAAAACTTTTAATGTTAAGAATAACATTTTCTTCATTTTCATCACGTGTTTTTGTTTGTCATAGCATAATACTTTTTATTTCATAGCATAATAGTTTTATTATTTCATAGACATTTGTTATACAATGAAGACAAACTGTAAAAGGTATTATTTATGAATATGTTTAACTTATACATGTACATAGTTATTTTGTTAAGGAAAAGAATAATATGACATAAATTCGTTAGTAATTCAACATACGAAGTAAATATTGTTTTGATTCCTTTATGTAAATATGTTTTGTACAAATTTTTAATGTTGTTACTAAATAAAAAATATTTTCTGTGCATCGTTGTGTTTTTTTTTCTTTACAAAAAACTTTTTATATAACATACTTCCTGAATTACTTATTTATAAACGGAAAAACAACAACAAATCAACAACAGATTAACAAAAATTTTACTGAGATTCAAGTCCTTACTGCAATGCAGTTTGCGTTTGTGGTAATATACTGATAACTGATTTAACTCACCAGCCACTGCCGCGGATTCGAACTTTTTATAGGAACCATGATCTGTCGTCTTACCAAGCTAGCACTAGAAAGATCATTTGTTATTCCGAGCTGTTTATTCATTTACTATATAACGGCATTCACAACTGAAAGTAAAATCGATGAGACAAAGATCTTAGCATATGTTAGATTTACCTCCAGTATCAACCAAGGCAACAGACGGAATTTATTCGTAATACCCTTTTAGAACATTACATACAGCCGTAACATTAAGAACGTTTCGTGTTACGTGTTATATAGGGTTAACGCACGTTTTTCCGTGTTATAACGTCTGCAGAGTCTCGAGGAACGGTTGGTGCCCGAGCCCGGTAGGGCGAGGGCTCCAACAGTTCTGAGGGACTCTGCAGACTTTATAACACGAAATAAACGTGCGTTGACGCTATTATAGCATAAAATTTTAAAACAGATTCATGATGTATATTTAATACAAAACACAATACATTAAATCCTTGTGCTTGGACGGTATTTATCCAATTCTACATGTTTTACGTATGCCTTTTATTTTTCCGGGGCCAACAACGAACCGAACGAAATTTTGAATTTAAATTGATATTATAAAGCTTGACATTGGAGAGATATTATCTCAAGGAAAAAAACAACGTTACATTACTCTACCCAATACAAAACATGGCCCTCAGAAATTTTTAGAATGATATCAGATTGACAGTAGAAAAAAGATCAGTGACGTCATCAGAATCGGGTTTTTTTAAGCACACAAGTTTATAAATAAAAAATCAGGCACTAAACATTATTCTCTCAAAGAAATATAAAGCGCATTTATCAACATAAGCATCAATAAAACAACATGTTCTCATATTCATTTGTGTTATCTTGTTTTGTAAGTTAATCGGAGGGTTAAACTGAATGCCAGTAATTTGTTTACATTGACAACTGTCCGTTTCTTAGAAAGGGCGACAACCAAGATTAGCAACGATGTTTATACGCCGTATTTCCGGCATAGTTACTTGAATGCTGCTCGCCGTATTTAATGCGATTGAGGCCCTCGAATCCATAATTTCAATATAACAAGAGCGCATGACTCTTTGGCAAACAGGCCAAATCGTCATTTAGTTTTTTTTTTTTTTTACTGGGCCCTGTATGTATTGCGCATAGGTGAAACCGGGCTATAACAAGAGCGCGTGACTATGTTAACACATGGTTTTGGTCCCGTTATAACATGGGCAAAATAGGGGAAAATAGCCGATTTTATGCTATAATACCAGATAACATACGGGGTTTCTTCCAAAAGATACATTTGTGACAATTATTTGTAGCAGAATATTTACACATGTATATAATAAAATATAGTTCTTAGAAAAAACTATTTACATTTGACACGCGTGCGTTTTGCAAGGCCAAATCTTAAGAAAGATTGAGTGAGATACATTTAGTAAACGAACGGACAAAAAAAAACCCCAATGAATTAGGTTACATTTAAATGGCCATTGTATTATAAAATTCCTCTTATTTTAACTAGTATATTCGCAACCGTAAATTACAATGTAATAATGTTTCGTGGTCGACTAATATTTTATACAGGACGTATTTGTGCACGTGGTTGATGTTGGCAGTAAATATAGCAAAATATATACAAGCATGTACATTGTACATTATAATATAATGCACGTGTAACCTTGAATAATAAGAGAAGACATGCGTCTTTTAGAGTTCAGATACAAAATTATGTATTTTATTGAAAGTTTTTTTTTTGTTCTTGTTACCTACATAAACAGAATGTGGCTCTTTTGCAAGAGGAGTAATAAAGATGACTTGAATATTTTATAAAGCAAGAGTTACATCCCATTAACTAGTATTTCTATATATATTACGCACATGAATCATTCAGTTGACATATGATTATGCCCTGTATGGTCACATACGGGTACTTATAATACAAAGAAAGTCTGAACTTTTGCATTGTTATATCGAAAAATAGCCTAACTATCACAGACATACATAAAAAACATTAAAATCCTCCTCCAAAATTTATTTTAAAAATAGGATACTCATCATAAGATGGTTTTTAGTTTTTTTTCTTTCGTTATATGTAAACATAAGTATATTTGAGCCGCGTCACGACAAAACCAACATAATGCGCATCCGCGCAGTCTGATCAGGATCCATGCTGTTCGCTTACAGACCCTTTAACAAGTAGAGAAACTGATAGCGAACAGCATGGATCCTGATCAGACTGCGCGGATGCGCAGGCTGGTCTGGATCCATGCTGGTCGCAAACCCATTATGTTGGTTTTGTCGTGACGCGGCTTATTTGTCGACGCAACCATGCACACTATATGTACATACACATGTACTTTTAAATGCATTTTTTTACTGTCAGATGTATTATTCACTGGATGCTAACTCTGTGTGTTAAACAATATACCTATAAGTCTGGACATGTTCAGACAATAATGTGACGAACAGATAAGCGACTTTATTCAATCTATCAACTTTAAGATTACACAAAAATGGGTCTCGCGATCATGTGAGCATACACCTTGTTATGATAAATTGAGAGGACATAAATGTAAGTGATTTATTTTGTATCTTTTAAACATTTTAATACAAATTTGTTCTACAATTATACACCTGTTACCAGAGATGTAGATAACATAAATGTTATCTATGTCTCTGCTTTTACTTTATACTTTCTGAATGTTTTTGTTACTTTGTTACTTCGTATATTCACATATTATGTTATATTATGTATGAGCAACAGTATGAATATATAAAACATCGTTTTCTTTACATAACAGAGAAAAAATCATTGATATTCTAACTGAGGAACTATATTTCATTCTATCTTTTATATAGCAAGTGTAACTTTTTTTTCGTCAATTAATTTTATATTGAAGAGCTGAAATGTGTTCCAAAAAGTTGTTTTTTAGTTAGCATACTAAGTATTTCACAACTGCATATACCACCTCGGACAGGATTTCAGTTACGCACTTTACAATATTAATTGATATATTCTATTCTAGGAAGACTGTAATTACGGTGACATAAAAGGGCCATCAGAAATATTTTTTATTTTCCACGTGCGCACGCGATAGCTACTATGTGCGCACGCGATATCTACCATGTGCGTACGCGATAGCTACTACTAGTACTTGCGCACGCGATAGCAATTACGTGCGCACGTAATGATTGTCCAGACGCAGGGACTATCGCGTGCGCACGTAGTAGCTATTGCGTGCGCACGTAGTTGCTATCGCGTGCGCACATGATCTGACGATTCCTCTATGCCACCGTAAGACTGTATATTCTGGAATATTATATCTATAACGATATAAATATATAACCTCTTTCCCCAGTTGATAAGTGTATTTTCATATGATGATAACATAAATTTGACCCGAAATGGTTTATTTAGGTTTATTTTCAATTTTCACCAGAGACTTATTTATTCGTTAATAAGCATTATTACAGTTCAAATAGGACTTCACTGTATCCCGTCTTGCAAGCCTGTTCAATCCAAAGTGTACCATGACTTGCGATTACAAACACTTTACTTGTTACTTCCGTTTACTGTACCGTGTTTGATAGCCTTTATAATTTAACATGTTCTTTTTTTTGCGATAATAGAAATTGAATAGAATTGTTTATAAAAATGTTCTTATGTTAATGGTCTAATTTGGTTTTACAGATCTAACGGTTACAATGATTTTGAGAGTTTTGCTAGCCATATCGCTGTGTGCTGTAGGCCAAGGACTAGACAATGGTTTGGCTTTGACGCCACCTATGGGCTGGTTGTCATGGGAACGTTATAGATGTAATATCGACTGTGACAATGACCCCGACAATTGTATCAGGTACCATTTTCATTTGCTTATAAGTTTTGAGTTGGTCAACCGCACAATTATCATCAGGACCATGTGATATTTCTGCTTTACACATAAAGAAATGCATGAGCCAACCCTGCCGTATACGTAAGTCACTGTGAAGTAGGCTTTCTTGATTAGAATAGTAAGCTTGATTCACAGAATAATCTTATATTCATTTGGACCAAGAATAGTACCCTTTTAAATTAACCTATCTAAATGTATTGGGTTAAATTTGTGGATGTTATTATCTATGCCTACATAATTTACAGCGAGAATTTGTACATGGCAATGGCTGACGCAATGGTATCGGAAGGTTACAAGGATAAAGGTTACGAGTACGTGAACGTAGATGATTGCTGGATGGAGAAAGAACGGGACGCCAATGGTACACTTGTAGCAGATAGAAAACGATTTCCACATGGCATGAAATGGCTTGCTGATTACGTATGTATCATTTCCACATTGTGTGTGTTTTTTGTTTGTTTTCATTTTGCTTGATCAGCTTATGGATCCATCACTTGTTTTGGCCTCACTATTTTTTTTGCAGGTGTATTTGCTTTTACCATATGCTGATAAAAAACAAAGCATTCCAACACTGCATGAAATGACTATTATGATTATTTACACAGATGGGTTCATATCACTTTCAAATTACAATGCATTCACGGATTGAATTTCGTTTATCTGAAGTCATTAAAATTTCAATTTTTTGATATCAGATAATGGATGTTTTTCTTTTACTTATAAACAGACTTCATGAGTGTGGGTATTATTTCAAAGGGCAAGCATGTTTTATTTTAATTTCATTCATTTGTTTGCTTTCTTAAATGATATATTTTGGCTATTAGATTTCCCTTTTGCGTTTGCTGTATACTTGTGTATGTTATAATGTCTTAATTGAAACGAAAAAGCATGCATTTGTTTGTCTATAAATCTAGATGCATGCTAAAGGTTTGAAGCTCGGTATATATGAAGATTTTGGAACCTTTACATGCGGGGGTTACCCTGGAAGCAAATTCTATCTTGAAAAGGACGCCGACACGTTTGCGTCTTGGGGAATAGATATGGTCAAACTGGACGGATGCTACTCTGATATTGAAGATATGGAATATGGTTAGAAAAAATTATTATTGCATTACTTCATGGACTCTGTCCAATTGTCTTATGAAACGTCTTTAGTGGAACATTTAGAATATCGAAATATGCCAAAACGGTGCTTCAGTTTTTTAAGCTGTTTTTACGTTTTATGATGATCAATATCTTGATGCCAGAAAACCGGACACATGTTTGAGTATACATTGCAACACGACCCCGTGGCACAAAACGCTATTACATTTAAAGCTGAACTGCTACTTGGTCTGAATATTTCCAAACTTGAAGTTTTAACTGTTTAATTTTTCGAAACTATTATCATAAATAAAAATTATTGCTAAGAAAAGCAAATCAATTTCCATACAATTTATGAACAATCTACATGTATACCTAATTAATAGAACAACAGCAGATGAAAACTAGTCTTCTATTTTAATTTGAGAGACGACTAGTTTTGTAAAAGTTTATCCATTTTGAAATTGCAATAATCTGATAATATATATTCTCCGTTATAGATGATAATATGTCTTCTCTCTTATAGGTTATCCCGCGATGTCATTCTTCTTGAATCAAACTGGGCGTCCAATGTTGTACTCCTGTAGTTGGCCAGCATATGTTGTCTTCTATCAAAAAATAGTAACTTGAATTTATGATTATACTCTTTAAACTGTATAACATTGTATTACAGTGTTAGCTGATTTAAAATTTCGTTACTTGAAAAAGTTCAGCTTTCAGTATTATATTTTGCATCAAAATCGGAAAGAAGTTGCAATACAGTATAACCTTTGCAGAGCAGCACCGTTTGGGAGACACAGAATTTGGTTGGTGGTGAGAAGTGTTGCTCTTGAGGTGTTAATTTTCGAGCAAAGTCTTATTTTGGGAAGAACTGAAAAGTTCTGGTGTTGTAAACAACTAATTGCTCGACAGAAAGTCGTTGTGCAGAGGTTGAACTGTACTGTTTGAATTCAAGCAATGAGAAAATGATACTAAACTATAAGCAGAATTCATGCAAAAGTTGTAAAAAAAACTGTTAAGCTGTTGATACGTCCATTTTAAAGCTGCACTTTGGTATGCATTATCTTATGACATGTTTTTTTTGTCAATGAAAATAATGTAAAAGGCTATGAAATAATGTTTTATGAAATAATTTATAACACAATATTTTTCTTTGGTTGAGAGTACATGTACTATGAAATACTGGTTGAGAATACATGTCTTATGAAATACTGGTTGAGAATACATGTACTATGAAATACTGGTTGAGAATACATGTACTATGAAATACTGGTTGAGAATACATGTACTATGAAATACTGGTTGAGAATACATGTACTATGAAATACTGGTTGAGAATACATGTACTATGAAATACTAACTAATTTTTCAGCCTGACTATAAGAAGATTGCTAGTTATTGTAACATCTGGAGAAACTATGCAGATATACAAGATTCCTGGGACAGTGTTAGAGGGATTATAGAATTCTATGGTAACGATACTGGAAACTTCAGTCTTGTTGCCGGACCTGGAAACTATAATGATCCGGACATGGTGAGTTGATCTTGTCGGCATTTTCTTAAAATCCATTTGTTAAAGGAACTCCACTGAGGTCCAATCGCCGAAAAACATAACATTTGAATTTCTTACATAAATCACAAGGGACACTCCAAACAGAAAGATATACAGAAGTTAAAATAGAAATGTACTCAGAAATAAATCGAAAATCATATTTGTATGCTGATCTTAGCCCTATTTGAGTGATAAGCATTGCAACTATTTTCAATTTTGGGTCATTTTTCACAATTAGAATAATTATTCTGGAAGAATGGAGTGAGCAAATGGCTTGAAATTTTGCTCACAAGTTTTTTCAAAAACCCTAAGGGGAGTCCCTTTATTAACAATTGTGTTCACAACGTTTAAAACCAAAAAGGTTTGAAAATCGGGAGGACCGGCTTGAATTATCACATCGATGCTAATGGCAAATTCATCATCAACGAAATGTACAAGTGAAACATTGCATACGATTAGCGTTTAGCGTTATATAATTAAAGGTACTGCACTGAGGTTCAAAAGTAAAGCATAATTATTTTTATATAGATCAATTGGGGCAATTGAAACAGCAAATCATGCAAAAAAATAATTAGGAAATTTACTCGAATAATCTGAAATATTGGACACAAGTTACTGGTTTAGACTTTTGTCAAATGTAACAATATTCTCAAAAGAATATTTCTACTCATGTCATGTCAAGAAGCATCAGTCGAGTCCCTTTAGACCAAATACACGTGCATAAAGGGATTGCAAGCATTCACTAGAGAACATATTTAACTTTTAATTCTAGATGTTTTATGAAGTATTCACTTAAAATATGATTGCGATATGTTCATAAATATGCATCTTTGTCATTATGTGTCCTTTATTCTAGATCATTGTTGGTGACTATGGACTGAGTTACGATCAACAACGGGTACAGATGGCAATGTGGGCGATCATGGCCGCGCCTTTATTGATGTCAATAGATCTGAGGAACGTGAAACCGGAAACCAAAGCTTTGTTACAGAATGATTACATAATCATGATTAATCAAGACAAATATGGAAGCATGGGACGAAGAATTATGAAGGTGACTTTGTTCAATTCATTTTCAGTCTCGTCATCAATGTAAAGGTCAGATGGCAGTTTTCCGGACCTGCTGGTAGAGGTGCTCATTTGTGCATTATTTCAGATACGAAAATACACCTGAAAAGATCCATAGACCTTCTGTATACATGTTTTACCGAATAGCTTCCGCACAGAAAATAATACTAAGTCCGCCTGTAGGCTTCGAAAACCGAGATTGGTAATAGGCATGCAGTCTGAAGTCATAACCACTCGGCAAAATATCTTTTATTATGTTCATAACAATAAAATGTAGTCATATATAAGGCACCCGCGTTTTTGTTTACGTTTTCAAGGGAGATAAATTTCATCAGCATCCAGGTGGAGTATTGCACTGGCCAGAGAAATTGATGAAATAAGGGAGTATCATGTCATATAATGGAAAGTTTTTATTTTAATTTTCTACACACGGCAAATGTGATAAATCCTTGTGTCCTGGTGGTTTTATCATAACAATATCATCAATTCGTGATTTTCAGTGTTGTATTTGAACAAAATTCTTTATTTTTCATAAATGCACAAATAATGATTTAATTTCAGAGTGGACCATATGAGGTCTGGACGAAAAAAATGGGATTAGATGATAAAGGAATGGCATTTGCTTTCCTGAACTTAGATGACGCAGGAGGCCCAATCCCTGTATGTACTTAACATGTTTATTGCTTTCTAAATTTGCTATATGTTTTGTTTCGATGCTTATAATAAGTTTGTCCTTTCTGTTAAGTTTTTTTTCCTTTTTGTTAGTATTAAGGAAATAACAACTTTCTCTGGTTCAAGTCAATGATCTTACTTTGGCCAATTTAACAATTTTGAGCATGAAGAAGTCAAAATACGGAAATACACGTACACATGAACGATCGCATCTTCTCGGCCCTCGGATCAATAATAGCCGAGATGTCCCGGTTGGCACGTGCAAATACATAATTCATCTTTGTTTCTCAATGAATACAATGTTTTTTATAAAGTGCAAATATTAAAAAAAAAACATAATGTTTCCAAATGGTGACGATATACAGTAAAACCAATGTTTAGCAGCCACCTACAAATAGAACTGGTCTTCATATAGACTCATATAAACCGAGTGTGAAATTTTCACTTTAAAATCTTTTATTGCTCTATAGTGATGTCCCCCTTTCCAGTTTTTATTTCTCCATTTCATTTTTTAAAGGCCCTTTATGTATTGTTTATATTCATATTCCGTTTCCTTTGCAGATAAGCATGCCGCTATACCAACTTGGTTTGAATATTGCCGAGGGGTATAACATCACTGAAGGTTTCACCGGAAAGTTCATTGGTACTCTAAAACCGCACGACATTCTCAACGCCACTGTAGACCCTTCTGGGGTGTGGCTGGGAGTAGCATATTTTGATTGCTAAAATAATTGCATAAATTGTTTTTCATGAAGATTTATTTTGAAAGTTTCGAAATTGTTAAAAAATTAAATGTTAAGATTTTTGGCAAGTGGTTAATATAAGTATGATTTAAATTATCCATGATTTTTCAGAACATGAAAATTGTCTTTACTTGTTAGATAACAGAAGGTTGGTCATACATCAATGATCAATTCGACCATAGGTTATAAAGAACATTCAGAGAAAAAGTGTTGCTAAAATGAAAATATTTTACAGTGTTTTCATGGGGAAAGTGATTTTCATATATTTTCTAATTTGCATATCGTCTGAAGATATTAAAATTATATTAATATATCACATAACTTATAATTGTATATTGTATATTCATGTCCTTCCTGTTTGTAAATAGATTTGAACTTGTTGCAAATTAGAGAGAATATGTTTTGATTTTTTTCTATGATTATGTCCCTTTCTATATAATTTTTTACATTAGTTTAAACATATCCATTTCCCGAATATATATATACATTTACATATAATTATACATATACAATACAAATCAAACATTTTTATATTCAAGAAAATGAAAAATGAAATTAGACTGTACGAATGTGAGGTCTGGTTATAAAAAAAAACTGATCATCTCCGGTTTTAGCTGGTTAAGGATTTTACAATGACTTTACAATCCATACTTTATATCTTGACTGTCGACCAGGTAATGTGCAATAAAAATTGTAAAAAAAAACAAGATGTGACTTTTTGTTTATTGATGTAGGTAATCTAGTTTAAAAAAAAATTAGATTGGGTTTTACATCGCACTAACACAGTAAAGGTCATACGGAGACTGTGGAGGAGGACCTCGGGTACCCCTCCGTGCATTATTTTAGACATGAGTAAAAACTTCCGAGTTCTAGCAAGCTGACAGCTTCGTCACTTGAAAGAGTCTAAAAGTCCATGGCGGGATTCGAACCCACAGCGGCAAGGGGCAAATGGTTTGAAATTAACGACCTTAACCCCTCACCCAAGGACGCACCGGCTAAATAAGTAATATTTGCATATCTTCAAAATTATTTGCTGTCTTAATAGTACTGGTATAATGTCATTGAATTTAAAAACAACAACGTTTTGTACTTCAGCGATCGATTTTTTTTTAATTTCGTTTCAAAATTGTGTTATTTATTCAGTGGTTAAAGATTTCCACCGATCTGTATTCAGCAACATTGACCAATACTGCACTTTGAATGGTATGTTAAACAGTAGACATTTTCCTACGACCGGGTTATAATTATTTCAAGACCTTTTTTACAGTTTATTTGATAATTTTGATATTCTTCCTCTAATTTTAATTCTAATTCAACCGGCATGGTCATAAACATATCTTTAAATATGAGCTTGAAGGGTGGCTTGGCTTCTTTTGTATTAGATTTTTATACTCGAGCAAGGGTCACAATTAGGTCATTTCATCAGTGAAATTTAAATATGACATTGCATGCATGAAAAAGATAAAATAATATTAGTAAGTGGTAAAAATACGCAGCCATCTTGTAGTTAATATATAATCGGGTTTGGCATACAAAAATACTAGTATGTTTGTTTTCTGCATTCACATAAAGATATGCAAATATAATGAATAATAAAAGTAACTAATACTTCATTGGGTACGCAAATTTTTCTTTTGCTTAAACTATGTAAATTTAACATCGCTTTTATTTGTAATATTTCTCATTTTAAACGATTCTTTACAAATTTGGACTTAATATTTGGGTCTTCATAATTCTCATATGCTAAGCTTGTTCTTTTTGATTGGTCAACGTGAATATTACTTTCTTAAATAACTTTTCAAATGTCCGACCAATTACAAAGACAATAATGAGAACATACATTAATAATAATTATCATTCAATATCCATTACTGTAAGTTTTTGTTTGGATAATGGGATGTGCCTTACTGGGTTTCAGACTGAACTTGTGTATGTGTTTTAAACTGCAAGCTGTTGCAAAGAATAACATGGGATTTCGTCTATATTTGACGTCATTATGAATAGCTTAGCTTTCCATATCATTACTGAGCTAAACTTCACGTTTCAAGAAACTACAGTTCCTTTTACAAATTTGGTAGATTTTTATAAATCTTGCTTTTGGCCGACAAAGACCAGTTACCAAGCAAAATAAGCTTGTTAGATGATTGAGCTTCTTGTGAGCATTGTATTAGCTAACAAAGTTATTTCCCTTTTGTTTCTTCAAAAAAACAAATAAATTTGCTATCATTATGTTGATTTTCTACACCGTTGCTAAAGGAAGTGTGCACTTGGTAACATAATGCAATACTTTGGTATCAACATTTGCAGACATGTATATTGGCCTAATAATAGTTTGTGATAGTTATCAGAATTTTGGTTTTGTGTACTTGGATGAAAAGTAAAAGATGCAGAATTGTGATTTGTTAATTTCTTCTCTCGATAAGGGACTGTTAATCAGTATTTGTTTAGTTCATGTCATCTATGGGTGTTCCATTTAGAAATTTTAATATCCATAGGCAAGAACGCATACAATTTACAAAAGACACAATTCTGCAACTTTTATTTTTTCATCTCTCAGCTGTTTACATGTACTCGTAACCAAAGAACTGATGATAATAAAATTTCAATTAGATCTACACAATCGTGTAGTCATTAGATTTTTGCAAATTTTGTTACCAAATATGCTAATAATTTGCATAAAAAAGAATATAAAATTTCACTGTAACCAAATGAACACTTTCTGTTACTTCTCATTATAGTTTGAGTTACAAAACTGACACATTTAAGAAGTTACGTATATTCCAGTTTTGTTATAAAATGAAGATCTAAATAACTAAATTGTATAAATATTTAATGTTTTATTTCTTTTGTAAAGGTTGTATAAAATGTTATGTAAAATGTATACAATTTCCTTCACTCGTTGTTTGTTTCAAAATGTTTATGTAAGAAAGAATGGACGGAATTATGAAAATAAATGTTTTTGTCATGTGACAGGATGTGACGTCACGCAAGCACGTGGTGGTATCTATGCTGTCTATGCCTCCTCTTCTTCACCCTCCTCGTCGAACTCTCCTTCCTCTTCTGCGGTAGCGTCCTGAAAAATAAATTTGTCTCATCATTATAAACTGATTAATGATCCAATTATAAAATTTTATCAATTCAGTGTTACATCATTTTTTTTCTAAATTACAAATGTAACCAAGTTAGACCTATTCAAGCAATATTTAAGAGAATTATCTAAAAGAAATATTCTAAGGTGTTGAAGACTCGGATAAGTAACTTACAGCTGTCAGTTTTGTTTTTGAAACAGAATAATATTACAGACAGATTTAAAGCTCTGACTAAAACCAATGAAACTTTCGTCAAACTGCTAGAAAAACTATAGAACAACAAAAATCTTGACTGACCTGGTATTGTTGATATTCAGACACCAAATCGTTCATGTTGGATTCGGCTTCAGTGAATTCCATCTCATCCATACCCTCACCAGTGTACCAATGCAAGAAAGCCTTTCGTCGGAACATAGCTGAAGAAAAAAAAAATCAAACAATAATGACTACACAGTTTTTTTGGTAACAATCTTGAAGGGAGTATTTTGATCAAAATGTTGTTATTAAATAATTTTATGTAAAATTTAATGTCAACCAAGGTTCTAAATGGGTTTGATATTTTCTTATTTTACGCAATAGATTTAATTTTTAAGCCGACATTTGACAGCATTGATCCAGTTCTTCCACTAAATCATATCCTTAATCCTTTTTGGAGGCTTTTTCTCTCAGGCTGTTTCTTAAAAAAATTCAAATTTATTTACCGGTGAATTGTTCTGAGACACGCTTGAACAGTTCCTGGATGGCAGTGGTGTTTCCAATAAAGGTGGCAGACATCTTGAGACCACGTGGTGGGATATCACAGACGGCGACCTTGACGTTGTTGGGAATCCATTCAACGAAGTAGCTGCTGTTTTTGTTTTGGACGTTCAACATCTGTTCGTCAACCTCTGTCAAAGAAGAAAACGGAACATTTCGTTATAGCCGAACACATTTATACATGTAACATAGTAAGAAATGGATTTACAATAACTGCAAAACTCAACATTTGTTAATTAGTTTAAATAATAGCTAGAAAGAAAATAAACGTTAAATCTGCATTAATGCACTAAAAGAACATGTCGACGGGGTTGGAAGTTGCTGAATCAAAGAATTTCTCAAAATCATTTGCGCTTTAGAAGTGTCTTAAATACATATTTTGTATTTTAGTAGATACAACAGAGCTGTAACTTCGTAAGTCAAAAGCAATTTCAAGACAATTTTTGAAGTCAAAGTAAAATGTTTTAATAACCTCATATAATTAAACGTACCTTTCATGGACATACGTCCTCTGAAGATTGAGGTAACCGTGAGGTATCTACCGTGACGTGGATCACAGGCAGCCATCATATTCTTGGCGTCGAAGATCTGTTGGGTGAGCTCGGGTACTGTCAGAGCTCTGTACTGTTGGCTACCACGGGAGGTAAGGGGAGCGAACCCAGGCATGAAGAAGTGCAGACGGGGGAAGGGGACCATGTTGACAGCAATTTTACGAAGATCGGCATTCAACTGACCTGAAATTGAAGGTACATGTCTTTAGATTTTTAAAAGCTTTGACATTTTTTTTTGACAAAATATTTATTAAATATAACATTTCACATCTATAAGTAATGTTTGACATAATATGCTCAATTTTGAAACTGCTAAAAGGTGTTTATTAGCAAAACGATTTAACATCATAAGAAATGAGAAATTAATGCAATATTTGGAATGAAAGCCTACCTGGGAAACGTAGACATGTGGTTACACCGGACATGGTAGCAGAGATGAGATGATTCAAGTCTCCGTATGTTGGTGTGGTCAGTTTCAAAGTTCTGAAGCAGATGTCGTAAAGAGCCTCGTTATCGATACAGTAAGTTTCATCAGTGTTCTCAACAAGTTGGTGGACGGACAATGTGGCGTTGTATGGTTCGACAACTGTGTCTGATACCTGGAATATAATGTACACAAATAATTAGTACGGAGTTAAATAAAATAAACCCAATACGCTATGATGTTTTGGTATTCGAATAATGACAATAAAATACAAAAATTGTTATGTTTCCTTGGTGACATCCATGGATAAGACATGAATTGATACTCAAAAAGACTAGTTTATGTTGATCCCAAAAGTAAAAAGTATTTAAATAGAAGGTTTAGAATACAATTTTACATAGTTGAATTGCGTTAACAAATTCAAACATTAGATGTTGTATCGTGAAAATCCGGTAAAAAGGTATTTTGCGCTTTCTTTTTTTTCTTCTTTTTTTTTGTAGAACAATATGTTCACGGTCATATGTTACATACCTTTGGTGATGGCACAACTGAGAATGTATTCATGATTCTGTCTGGGTACTCTTCGCGGATTTTACTGATAAGGAGGGTTCCCATACCAGCCCCGGTACCTCCACCGAGGGAGTGTGTAAGTTGGAATCCCTGAATACAGTCGCATGACTCAGCCTCCTTTCTTACAACGTCCAACACAGAGTCAATCAACTCGGCACCTTCAGTGTAATGTCCCTTTGCCCAGTTGTTTCCTGCTCCACTCTGTCCTGTTAATATAGAATTGAACTTTTAAAGAATAAGTCTGGAATAAAACCCAATAGTTAATGTTTTTAAATGAAGACTTTTCTAAAAGTTCATACCTTCATTGAATTTTGCTCATGGCAAAGTTGCTCATGCCAAAGAGCATGTTATATTCGATTTCAATACATTAGCTATTCCAATATATCTACTACATTTTACAAATAAGTTTACAAATGTTTGAGTTCTGAAATAAAGCAAAAAGGGAATATACTACATGTAGTATATTGTATATCAAGCAAAAAGTTAAACACTATGTCTTTTTGTAAATGAACCCCAGTGTTGTTATTTACCCTTTGTTTAATGAAGGGTCGTCTTTTAACATTTAAGTTTTGCTATCGTAGTTATTTTGTTGGAATCAATTATAAATTGTCGATTGGTATACCTTTTGATACTACTTGTATCGGACACTATTTAAGAGCGTTAACGCGGTGTGCTGATGGGTACACATTTTGATAATAATTGTATTGGATTGTATTGTAAAATGTTCACGCATAAGCCGGTGGGTTAATGTTTTGGTATCATTGTCAAGACCCAATCTCTTTTAGAACAATGGTCTCCATGGTTGTGTGGCCATGGATCTCGTTATCTTCCTACCACTCATTATTGAGCAAATTGTAAATAATAAGTATCTGTTAATGTCCTCGTCATAATCTTACCATCTCTTCTTTATTGGATGTCTATTTTATTTACAGTCCTATCAGTTAAAACTGAACGATTGAATTCATTTAACGTCAAATATTTGATATATGACGGAATCTTTTGTCTATAGGCAATCGATTCATCTAGAAACTTCGCGTGTGGATAGATTTTTTATTACCGATCGAACCCAATACCATTTGTCACTTTGACTGTTATCTATGCATCGTGATTTATCAGTAATTGTATTAATTAAATCTGTAGGTGTTACCGTAATATCTTTTATTTGTTGTTTTTTTTTCATATGGTATATACATTCAATAAATGTCGATTATCCATTTTGTACATGTTTTAATCATGTTATTGCATGAAGGAAGATTTTGGTATTGTATTTTGATAGATGTTTATGAATAAATGTAGTTTTGAAATGACATTTTGCAGACTTTGTTTTTATACTGAACACGCTTCCAGCGAATTTCTTTGGACATTAAATGTAATATTTTTACACCATATTATTCTTATAACATACTTTTTCCGTATTTTGCTGAAGACCCTTAAAGTATACAATAAATATAGGCGTTTTCAAAATGTTAACTATGGTCTTTAAATATCAATGGAAGGGAGTAAATACCTACCGAACACAAAGTTATCAGGTCTGAAGATCTGTCCAAATGGCCCGGATCGGACGGAATCCATGGTTCCGGGTTCCAAGTCAACAAGAACAGCACGTGGTACATATTTGCCGCCTAAAATAGTCAAATTTTATATAGATTATTTAAATATTCATTATAAAGGTGAAAAAAATAGTAAATGAAAAAATGTTGTAATTTTATGAATTTTATTTTAACGTTAAAAAATAAGCTGCTGATGGTATGTTTCAAAGAACTATTTTATTTGACACCGCAACATGTATTTCACCAGTCCAATTTCAAAAACTTCAGTGTAGACTTTATAAGAATACTTTCATTTGCAGAAAAAAGGAATGAATACATTTTGAATATTGTGTAAATATATATCATTATAGTATTTCATTACCAGTGGCTTCGTTGTAGTACACATTGATTCTTTCTAGTTGAAGATCTGAATCCCCATGGTATGTTCCTGTTGGATCAATTCCGTGTTCATCTGATATAACTTCCCAGAACTGTAATTACACAAAATTTCATAAAATCATAAATCGCACAAATTATTTTTTGAGATTAACGCAAATTATGCCGCAGGAACTTTTTTCTTTTTTTCTTTACCTGGAAATGGCAAAATGATTTTAAAATATTTTTTCATTTTAATGGTTATTATAAGAAGGCATGTTGATAATTTATTTAAAAAGTAACGAAATATAGAAAGAAAAATGATTCAGGTGATTGGCCAATGAGTACCTTTAAAAAAGGTCCCTAAAACAAAAAGGCTTTTCAGGAATAAAATAAAAGGAACAGAATATAATATGCATTTGTGGACACAGGAAATAGTTTGCTAACCAGTCTGCACATTCAAACAGTCTGACCAGGCTCTAAATTGTTGGTGTATGCGTGTATTCTATGTTTAATGAGGGTCCATCCGCCCTTTCATGCAGTGAGCGTACGGATCCCGTAAATTGTTGGTAGCTCAAATTTTGTATTTTTATATTGAAGTCTCTCGAAACTTAACTAATCGCCTGTTCAAGGATAGACATATCAATTGCGCAAATTCAAATTTAGCTACATGTAGGTATTTTGCTTTTATTTTTGTTTTTCATTTACAGGTCATGAAGTTTAAATCTTTTAAAGGCATTTTTCATAAACATCGAGTCCGTGTATCAAAAAGCTTATAATAGTTGTATGAGATTAATTATCATATATAAAATTTCCCCTTAAAAATGCGTTGTCTCCGGTTGAAAAAATCATTTCGAGTATTTTTGCTGATGTTAGCATTTCTCTATCACAAAGACATAAGAAACAAAAGCACATATTGCTATTAGTATTCAAATATGAATGTTTATAAAACCACTTTCAATAACAAGTTTGCTACGTTTTCTTATCTCAATTCGCCATATAGAATGTAGCGATTAAACTCTTCAAAATTTTGCAAGCTTTTAAGCTCTCAGATGACATGAGTGTCTAAAAAGGATTTTCATCAACAAATGCATTGCACTTTTCATTTCAACCCCTATAAGCCTTTTATGAACACTTCTTTTATGTCGCTTATCTCGGCATGGATATGTAAGGCTTCGAAATTAACCGAAAGCGTGCCGGACTCAACGTATGCTTTCAAACATCGAGAGTTTAAATGTTAAAAGTAAATTTTAATTTAACAATGTTGTTAGACAAAACTTGAGTATACAAACCACTTGTATAAATTCACGTGTAATTGAAACTTGGATGCATTAGTGTTATTAAGTACTTAAGCTATCAACATTTTAACTTTTTTTAATATGATCTACTCCATTGGCAAGACATGGTTTAGACCTCCCTGGTTCAGTTACAAGTGTCGACTGAGCACTTGCTAATTGGTTTATAAAAATTATTGTTTGTGTCTTTACAAATTGTATGAATGATCTATGTAGGAATATATCCTTAAAAGCAAATGGCGCCTGCACGAAATCGTCGATAAAAAGCAAAACCGTATAAAATAGCTTCATAATATTTTGTTCCGAAATTATTTTGTTCCGAAATATTTCTTTCTCTTGACGTAGAAAATCCATGTGCCTTAAATAACAGAGGCATTCCATGTTACAACTTTCGAGACTCGACCGTATGATTATGGAAACAAATTTTATTTTACTGTTTATAAACTATTTCATTATGTAAAGCACTATAACCTTTAACATAAAAAAGTCAAATTTCTGATTTTTTAAAATTAAAATTCTTCACGCCGTCTTTTTCAAAATCTATGTATTAAAATTTCTGTTTTATTGCCTTTTACATCAAGTCGTAAAATTCTCGTCTTTTTTAAAATTTTAAAACCCAGAAGAAACTTAATCTTTAAGTATCATTTTGTTAACCATTCTTCATCGATAGAACGGTTAACGTTTTTATTTAAATTTTGTGATGAACACGATAATTCCCGTTATCAGTCTATTTTAACGAAAAGGAACAAATACATCCGAATAAATGAAGAGGTTATTTAGTTACTTCTTTTGTTATAAGATACCGTATCTTACAAATGTTGAAGGATTTCACAAATGATCGCTAAATATGTATTCATAGACCATTCTTTTTTGTTTAAACTTTTTAAGTGTTTAAATCTTTAAACAATCTAAGCAAACATTTGAAATAACGGATAGAATGCGACAAGGTTTTGTTTATTGAGATGGACACAAAGTTTGATCATGTTTGAAATATATTTTAAATATTAACGATTTCGTTCATGAATATGAAACGGCTTTAATCTTTTTAGCTTTATAAGCTTTTTCATTATTTTTCCTTTCTTCTATCGTTAACCACTCTTTCTTCAAAATAAAAACTTCAAATGATCGCATTCAACAATTACAGTATTTCTCAAAAATTGTCCTTGCTAAATGATATAATGTAGAAATCTGATCTTGTCTTTCTTTATAAACCAAATGTTATGTTTATGGAAATGAAAGTTCATTTTAATTTCATCTAAATTTGCTTTAACGACATTTTCGTCTTCAGTTTATTTCGTATGAATAACTTAATCCGCCAAGGTGATTTTATACAAAAGTCTTACCATTAATGATAAAAGAATCTGAGTTTGAACTTTGATGTTAATGTTCATTTTAGAAATACTTGGTAAGTACAAGCTTAACACCAAGGTGTTATATTTGATACCAGATGTTTCAACAATTTAACTTTTAAAAATGCAATTACAAAACGAAACTGATTACAGCTTTTATAAGGGTTATGATACAGCCGAGGGTTTCTAACATCATATCACATTATTATGGAGAGAAATATTGTTGATATGTAAAAGCATAACAATTATCAAAAATGAAAATATTGAATGAATGGATAATCATGAATAAACAGTTGTATGATAAACGAATTAAATAATTACGTTAATGATATAATATGATACAAAAGTATCATTTTCAAATACAGCGAAATGAGTTTAAAAGAACTTGCTTACTTTGGCTCCAATTTGGTTGCCGCACTGGCCGGCTTGCATGTGAACAATTTCTCTCATGTTGATATGGTGTGTTTTAAATCTTCCCTGAATAAATTGCACTGGGTTCTTTACCCCTTGATGATAATTCTTCCGATTGCCGAAATGGACAGTCCGATGATTTATATCCGGGCGCTTTTGGATAGAATCACGTGGTCATATCAATGCGCGTTTTCGTTAAAGTAGTTCGGCGCGCGTTGGCAAAACAAATTTAAACATATATAAATATTGTTTCAACTCGTTAGATACATTGAATAAGATACAGTGTTGGTTATTTGTCTTGATTCATCATGACTTATCGTTTAATCTCAAGATATTTTTTTTTCAAAATTGAGCTTTGGTATTTGAAGGCGGTAATATTCCTTGACTGACATAGAGATATGTTGGCACATGCATTACTTGCCTGACACTTTATCATCAGATCACAGAATGGGGAATATTGTAATATTATTATTTTATTATTTAGGCGAAAGTAAAAAAGAACGCTGCACTTGGACAATGATCAAAGTCTTCTATTAGAGTCTCAGGAAACTGGATGAAAAATAATTTTCATATAATTTAGTGCCTTATTTGATTATGTTGACCATACAATGGCAGTTTATCATCACCGTCGTATTTTTCGTCATCACTACTACTATCATCATCATCATCATCATCATCATCATCATCATCATCGTCATCGTCATCGTCATCATAGTTGTTGACATCGTTGTTGTGGCCGTGCTTATCATAATCATCATCGTCGTCGTTGCCGCCGTCATCATCATCATCATAATCAACAACTTCTTTTTATCCTTCACCATGATCGTAATCATCAAACTAATCATCATCATCATCTTCTTTACTCTTCGTCTAAATCATCATCCTTATCTCCAACGTGTTCAACAACACCATGATTAACGTTGACGCGGCGTATGGTCACGTTACGTTGTTGTTATCAATTTTGTCCCTGCTTCAATCGTAGCCGTAACAGTTCAACATCTAAACCACTTTCAGTGATGAACACTACTTAACATATTCTTTAAAAAATGCAATTTGTTAATTTCATAGGAGGGGATTTAAGTATATCTTTGCTTTATTTATGGTATAATTGTTGTTTAATTAAGTCTTCTTTAAAAGAGTTAACGTGATTTTGTGAAATGCAGAAATAAAGACTTTTATCGCTTTGTATAACTGTACAGTATCAGATAATCAACGCTTTGCGTGATAAAAATTTGATATTTTTAAAACAATGGCTGAACGGAGATACCGATCCAGAGTGTATGCATCACAAATTGTCACATTTATTGTGTCGAAATCTCGATAGGGACAACAAATATTATCATAGATTAAACCCTCTATATTTCTTGTTCTCCTATTGAATTGGTGCAATGTAATCGGTGATATTGTAAATGTTTGTTCTGGATTTATCTTTTTAAATATAGTTTTGTTAATACTCCAGATGAAAATCTCTGTAAACAATACACTAATGATAAGTGTTGTAGAGGTGATCGCGATTAACCGTGAGAAATCCGTGCCAAAAAGAACAGCAAGCGCAACTTAAGGCTGTTGAACAGCTATCTGATGAAATTGATACAATTTGTGCCGTATGTTTTAATCAAAAGCAATATACCTTTGGATAAATTTAAAATTTGCATTTCAGATTTTGAAAGCGCTGAAATCTATACAAGTTTGTCATATCTGATTTTTGTTTTTAAATTGTCTTCGGCAGTAACATTTGGTCTGAAAAGCAACCAAAATACATGGGAGTAAAATGAATAAGATTTTTACTTTAATATATCACACTGTTTTTTTAACTGACATCACTGACATTACGTCATGACTTTTGGCCAATCATGCGTAAATGAATTATTTTGCAAATGTACTCGGGAGTAAATTATGCAAGATGCGTTTCATACATGTAGGTCGGTTAACTTAATGTTTGAGTGAGAAATATTCAGATATTGTTTGAATTCACATTCATTTGCGAAAATTTTCAGATTATGTTGATCATTTAACTTTCTTACAATTTAAAAAACAATTATTTTTAAAGGTTTCTATAATTCTTAAAAGCAAATAAGATTTGAATATTTGATAGCATACGTTATAATATTTAAACAATTATTATTGTTACTATCTTGCTACACGAAAATATTTACTGCTCTTTGAAACAGTAGAAATATAGTATCTTATATACAAATATAAATATTATTTAGGAAACAACCAATTTTTGTAACTTTAAGCATGCATTTGTCCTTTTGTTGATAATTGGACACTGTTTTATGTTGCTGAAACAATGAGTCGTAAGCAGTTACTGAATTGTTAAACGAAAACAATTATAAAAAAACTTTATCAAAATAGTTTATCCGTTGCGACAAGATACAGTATCAATGTCAATGTTTCCACTGATTGTCTTTTTAATGTTTACAGGTATACTGTTAAGAAGACATTCATAAAAGAGGACCAGCTTTGATGAAGAGATATTGATGGTGACATGGGTTTTATCTGACCTAAACCTAGGTAATGGACATGATGATGATATACAGAAGATTATAACGATGAAAATATTTATAATTCTTCTGACAAAGATGTAAAATTAAAATGGCCCAGATTTGGTTTGAACTGATGAAATGACATGTTGTTGTTCTTTTACGGACACGTTTCATGGTATCATTGACTCGTTTGTACGTCAGGTCAATGCATTCCTGACAGAGATGGTCATGAGTTTGTGATTAGTGACATCTAAATCATCGTTATAGTGGTCAACGTCGTCGTCATCCTCATCCTGTTCCTCCTCATCATCATCATCATTGTCATCGTCGTCTTCATCATCATCGGCCTTGTCATTATTATCGTCACAGTCATCATCATCATCACCATTATTATCACCATCATCTTCGTCGTCGTCGTCATCCCCCTCCTCCTTCTCATCATACTCACAAAATCATCGTCACCATCACCACATCATTGTCATAATTGTCATCATTATCATCATCATCATCATTATCATCATCATTATCATCATCATCATAGTCATCATCATCATCATCATCGTTGTCGTCGTCGTCGTCGTCTTCTTCTTCATCATCATCATCGTCTCATCTTCATCATTATTGTTATCATCATCACAACATCATCACAATCATCGTCATATCACCACATCATTGTAATCACTCTCATCATTATCTTCGTCGCCATCATCATCACTATTGTTATAGTCAGCATCATCATTACGACAATTCATCACACATATATCAAGAATATAGTAAACTATTTATCAAGACTCTCTTGTGGCTTCTTATAGATAAATTATCTTTTATTTCAAAATAAAGACAAATAAATTTCAAGTCATGTTTCAAATCCATAAAGTTGTCGTTTTTAAAACAGTTTGAAACTATTGTATCAAAAGTAACATAGAAACCAATAAGTATCCTTCCTATTAAAAAAAGATGTCAAAGTTCATTAGTATGTTTTATTTAATCTGCAAACATTCAAACGCGTTCTATTTACACTTTGCATTGTTCATTAAAATCTAAAACGTGACAATACGTTAGAAATATTTCGAGTGTTGCTGGCAAGAACAATTTATACTTAAATCGGAAATCTAATAAGATTAACCATAAATTTATATGTCTTTATGTCTTTATTGGGAATGCACGTGTTTTTTCTACGTTAGACAGAACGATTAAATTGTTTCTTTACCAATCATTTTAGCTATTTTTTGCGCACTTATTATATTGCTCTGTACTATATCATAACATTAAGGGTACATAGCATAGTAATGTCGATTTTCTTTCGTTGAAAGGAAAACAATAATTTTTCTTCAATCGTTGGCATGTTCACTAATTTTGTTTAGCTAAGCTTTATTAACTATTTGTATCCATCTATCGGTCTCCCAGCCAGGCTGGTTTTTCACGCCTCTTAGGACCGACTTTGTCAAAGCGACACGGATTTACTTCGCACATTCAATACACCAGGATGATGTGCTGCTGGTGAAGTGATACTAAAAGAACTCAAAAGTCGATGGCGACGACTCGATAGGTGAGCATATGCGTGTTTGCGCCTTCGACTTTTTAGGGGTGAAGATACGAAGACATGAAATGGCAGAAATCAGCCACCATACCCCAGTAATATACGGTTAAAGCTAAAAAGTACAATTTAATAGCTAATTGCACTTAGGCCGACAAGAAGTCAATTCGTGTATGTAAATTCTATTGCAAGCCGTTAATTCAATTTATTTTTTCGCTTAACCGGTGACAAATGTTTACAGCGACAAATATTAAGGTAAACAAACGAAAATTAATGTTTGTATTTTGGATCAAATTATTGTAATATTGTAATTTATTTACGTACATAGAATAGCAGAATGTATGTTTATGATAATAACACCAAATATTTGACTTTTGATTGTATTTTGTATGTCCTCTTTGATCTTAATAATAAATATATCCAAAAAATAACACCGACAAAAGTACTTTTTAAACTTCTGTTTTTTTTCTTAAAAATTTCATTTAAGTATCATTAAGTACCATTTTTGGTATAAAATGTTAAGTCAGAAAAATAAGTGGCAAAATGTACATTTAGAAAACCACACTTTGTAACATAATATTGTTAAACACTAACTCTGTCCGATAAAATTAGAATGCAAATCTTGTGTGGAATCAACAAATAAAACAGAAAAACCGACGAAGGCGAAGCAGCTGCAGCAACAGTAGTACACCATTTAAACAAGGGGTAACGGCGTCCGTGGCTGAGTGGTTAAAGTCGTTGATTCTCATAATAAGAAGTTGTGGGTTTAAATTCCGCCAGGGACTTCGGTATCTTTCATGTAAGTGAGCTATACAGTTAGCTTAATGGACGTTGGTTGATCTACTCTATATAATGCACTGAGGGGTCCCTGAGGTCTTTCTCCACAAGCAAATCTGAAAAGTCATCTTTGACCTTTGCAGTGTTGGTGTTGCGTTAAACAAAACCAAACATATCAAGGGATTCTTTTAGATTTTACATGCTAGCGTGCTACAACTCGAGTGGTCAAACTCGCCAAATGACATTCTTTCTATCTCCAGCCTCGATGATTAAGATAAATTCATCGCAGAGTGCATATTTTATATCAACTTATAGTATAAACCTACTTGATTAGATTATTTCTGTCATATTTACAACAATACATTATACTTAAAAATACTTAAAATATATATCATTTTTTATAAACATCAATTCACAGTACTAAGGAATACAGTGTACATTCGTAATTTATCACAACTACCATGTAGTTTATCACTGTTAAGACTAAAGTTTTATTCCCATTTGAATGAGATATAATCCCTTTGATTTGTTATTTCAAAAGTTGTGTATTGGCTTATGGAATGGTATGCGTGAAACAAGGTGCTTAGATGTAAGAGCCTTACATGATATTGTCATGCGTGTATTGTCAATCTTCATTTGTTACCTAGGCGGCAATAAAGCAAAACTACGGCCCTCAACATTACTGTGCAGATTTATAAACGACGCGAAGTCCATCTGTCGATAGTGGAGGTTATTTAAACAAACACTCGAGAGTTTCTTAGCACAAAAATCATTATTTTACGAGATGGAAATCTAACCAAGTAATAAAAACTAAAAACCGGTAATTTACAATTTTCAATTCTTTAAAATCTCCCGATTAAGCACGATTAGGAGAGAGTTAATGTTTTGTTGATAGATAATATTGAATTAAAGCAAAGATTTACTGCTTTTTTAAATTATCCATCAGCTTTACATTTATAATGGACCCCGTAATAATTCAACAGAATGGCCTAGCATTTATTATATTTAGCAACATCTTGTAGAGCAAGTGAAAAGAAGAAGAAGATGATGATGATGATGAAGAAGAAGATGAAGAAGAAAAAGAAGAAGTTGAAGAAGAAGAAGAAGAAGAAGAAGAAGAAAGCATATCTAATGAGCCAAAATCGTTGTTTCATCAAGATATTGGTTTCTATAGTTTTTCTTTAACCACGTTGGCTGTATGGTAACAACAGCAACATTATCAAATCCGTGTAGTCTGACAACAACAACAAAAAAAAAACACCAATACTTTTAACACTTTGATATAGAAATCCCTTAAAAGTAGCAAGTTCTGAACACACATTAAAACATGAATACAGATTCATGCTAATTATCTATTTTTGTAAATAAAGAAAGATAGTAATTAAAACATTGCAAACGGCAAGTTCAATCCAAATAAAATACCTAAATATATAATTCCGTTAGTCTCTCAGGAGAAATATTATGTTAAATACTGCAAAATCAGTTAGTCGTTGCATTTAAAATGTAAATTATTACTTGAATTGTAAATATTTTTCCTTTTCTTAACATACATTTTTCTCAAAGTAGATTTTATTTTGTTTTAATAGATCATCTATAAAATGGTTGATATATTTCTTTATACTCTGGGGTTTGGCTGAAAACAGGTTCAAACTGTAGTATTTCATGAATAAAAATTTTCTAAACTGCATCGTATAGAATTTTATCTTCCGTGGACTTATGTACATATCTCATTTTATCCTTGCAAATTACCGCTATTATCCTTGTCACAATGAAATATTTGTAGAACACTCTCGCTTTGTAAATCTACAGGACATCCCTGTACAAATAAAGAACTCAATTTCGAGGACCAAAAAGGATTTAATAAGAATTCATTCGAGTTTATACGGGGCTTATCATATAAACGACAGACCAAAGAAGTTGTCAACGCGAAGAATAGAAAGTGTCTTTGCATTCTACAAACTTCGATCGTTTTGATTGATCGGTAAATATTTGCGTAATAAAACGTGGCGGCCTGATCATCCGATTAGATATCTTAATGTTACAAATGGGACTAATTTATGCGAGTGAGTGAAAAGGCTCTAAGATATGCAAATTCCGTTTAAATATCTAACACATTGAAAAAATATACTAGCAAGGGTTACGAAATTTAACACACTTCTTATCTAATTATTAAATTGTTAGACTTTAGTGCCAGACTTACTGACAATACTGACAAATGATTAATATGAAGCAAAATTAAACTCATTTATAATTACTTTTATTCAAAAAGAATGTTAGAATAAAAACATATATTAATTAATATTACTACATTAAAGTTTCATGAAAAACGCCACCACCACAATCAATACTTCAATTAACAACAATTACAATTATGAAAAATAACAACAGGATACATAGATTCCTTTTGGTAATATACGAGTTTATAGAAAAAAATAATACAAATGTGCAACAAAATAATTCTATCTATCTTAATTCATAAAAAAATCTAGCACACATTAGCTGGGAAATCAATACGCCATTCCAAGCCATATACCAGATGGGTTAACGCTGGCATTGATGACATCGTAGGGTTTTAGAACCCCGATAAATTCTCCAGTAAAACCTTCCGTCACATTGTATCCCTCTGTATTAGTCAAACCAATTTCGTATAGTCGCATGTTTACCTGTAAATATAGGTGAAAAAAAAACTTACCAACAAAATCATCACAAAAAAGTTCGGTGAAAAGGGGAACATTTAAAAAAAATTCTCTAGCATACATTGTCTATTCTAGGACGGAGGTGGGGGATTCACTTATATTTTAAGAATCCCCCTATTTTTCAGATGCAGGGGGGAAATTTTACATAGAAAAAGAAGGTAAAAGATCAACAAAAGTAATTCTAACTTTTCGATAAAAATCCCCCCCCCCCTGTTTTTCAAATTCTAGAATAGACACTGTCAGTTTACTTGCTATATTATTATGTTAAGGAAAGCAATTCTCTCAACGAGTGCAAGTTCTTATTCCAGGTAAAACGTTAGTGTAATACAAGATGCAATTTTTGGTGTAATATTATCGTACTTGCATTCAAAATAAACAAAACAAATGGGTGATAGGTAGCTAAGTTATTTCAAATATATGTTTCAGTTTCAGTTTTTTATTAAACCAAGGCATATAATATGCAACTGGTTATAACAAAAAAACAAACAGAAAAATAACAGTCAAAAATCACTAATATCACAATATAAAAATACAATTATGACTAGCTAAATAAACAAAAAGGAGATCATATTGTTCATTTCAAGTACTGAATTCAATACAACATGTACATGTATTTTATATTGTAACAAATGGGAACGGAGAATGAGAAGTATTAGATCTAGTTATCTAAATTTTAACATAATGTTTTTGCAAAATAAATATAATTTTAGTAGAATATTTTTATCACAACTATTAATTAATGTGTCAAGTTTAAAAATATTGGGATGAATGTAAAACCTGGATGGAAGAGATTTACGTCTTATGTCATTTAATACGAACATTCAATAAGTAGTGAAATTCATCACCAATAGCTTGATACGGACATAACGAACAGACCCTATTATTATGATCAATTGTTCTAAATTTACATAAATATTTGCCTATGTCAAAAGGAAGTACATCTAGATATTTTTCAAAACAATGAGTATTTTTATATGTACGATACACTAAACACTTAGAGGATGTATCAATAGTACTATGCCAATCTTGTAAAAATTGATCTTGTAGTCTAAGCTTCACAATATTTTTAAAGTGATTAATATTATCTACCATGGAACATTGAAAAGTGGTGGCTACAGTGGCAGCTATACCAAACTTTGTACATTTCCTAAGAAATTTGAGCCAATAATCTTTGTGGGTTTTTTTCTCAGCCGGTGTGATTGACTACATGTTTTGACATTATGTGTTTTACACGTTATCTTTATGTAATATATTTTTCTGCCCAACGGACTACCAAATTCCTTGATATTTCACACTAGTGGATATATGTACAAGTCATTAAAAAACTGGACGATCAACACTTTCAAAAGTCTCTTTTTATTATAGAAATCGCGATTTATACGACTGAAATTAATTGCTAAATAAAATACGCACCCGCAAAGGACCGCCTCCGTCGTCTAAATTCAGGAAAGCAAAAGCCATTCCTTTAAAATCAAACCCCAACTTCTTTGTCCATATTTCCATAGCACCATTCTGTAAAACAATTCTTCTACATAAATCTAACATGTCTAAATTTGTGAGCTTTTAAGAAAATGAATCTTTATATTGAAAATTTAATTTACAAAACTTGGCATGTCGTTGAATTATCTCGAATACAAGTGAGATTTCTTTCATTTCTTTATCTAGATGGTTATTCTGTTAACATACTATGAGAATATCAAATTAATCTACATTTTCAGTGGTCAATAGCTTACAACAAATTACCTCAGGACTATAGTTACAGCAAATCAGGTATAAACCCAACGGATTTACCTCCCTTTATAGCCAACGTAAGTCAATGTAAAGATGTTTGATTATTGTTGTATATCGTATTCTTGTTACTTTTACTAAATGATTTTCATATCAAATTCTAAAAATGCTTTTGTTCAAACTGATATTACTTTTAGATTATTTATCGCTTTAACTGTGGCGTCCTTTATTTATCGTTGTTTTGACACTATGTATAGGTTAGAGTGCATATTGGGTGTTCTTCGTAAATAAGAAAGCTAAAAAGGAGCGGAGCTTGCGAAGCGACTGTAGCTTTCTTATTTACGAAGAACATCCAATATGCACTCTAACCGGCTTAGTGCTCCGCCCACTTGCGTTTTATAATATAAAACGTCCAGTTTATATAAAATCTGTTCTATTAAGATTTGAAACCTGAAAATTTGAAAAATCCTCGTCGGTGATTGGCTTAAAAAAATTGGCGAGAACTAATTCAAATTTCAGTTGATTTTACGTGATAAACAATATGATATCCGTTCTTCTGTTTCGGAAGACATTCTTTAGTTACAGCAGAAATTCTTCTCTTTACATATAGAGCCTTTTGTTACAATCTAAATTCTTAAATGTGTTACAACATTCATTTTTTTTTGTTTCAATAAATTTTTCGTTACCATAGGCCTTGTTTGTTTCCAAAGACATTCTGATGTTTCTTTTCGAAGACTTTTGTTTCTATAGATATTTGTTTTATATCAGCATACTTACTTTCATAATTCTCTTCCCCATGCTACCATTTGCGTCTTGGTTAATTCTAATTAGAATATCACTCTGTAACAAAGCTTTAGCTTCAGGTTTTACGTTCCTCAGATCTACCGAAATCAGTAAAGGCGCTGACATGATCGCCCACATGGCCATCTGTACCCGTTGTTGATCGTAACTCAACCCATAGTCACCGACAATGATCTAAAATATGTTTATATCATATTGAGTATTGTTGAAACACTAGATACGTTTTATTTGCCTGCATTAATGCAAGCATTAACTATCCTATCATCAACAGCTTGTACATTATGCACCAAAGTTTATAACATTTATTGACGGATATAAAATCATCTCAAGATATATTAGAAACAAATAATACCTATGATGCTGTTAATGAAGATCAGAATGAAAATAGTGCATTTTTCAGTTTGCATATAGTCAGCGCTTCTATTTTAGATACGCAAAATAGAATTTATCTTTTTTTCTATTATTTTACATTAGTGAGGGATGCATTTGAAAAATACGTAATATTAAATAATTATGATGCGATTATAATTAAAGAGACATCCAAAAGCAAGCGCATTGGGTGCTTTTGATGTTTAATTTAAAGAAGTGAAAGATACATTAACATAAATACAAACACTATTTCCTGAAGAATTTCAGATACTTAGCAGTTTATGTACAACGTTTATTGTAACCAAAGTGTTTAATCAACAGTAATATACATGTATGTACTATTAGTTTTAAACACAATTCAAAGATTCAATTCCCCTTAAAACCCCATCATCAGCAGTAGCAACAATAACAAGAATAGGACCAACTTACCATGTCCGGATCATTATAGTTTCCAGGTCCTGCAACAAGACTGAAGTTTCCAGTATCGTTACCATAGAATTCTATAATCCCTCTAACACTGTCCCAGGAATCTTGTATATCTGCATAATTTCTCCAGATGTTACAATAACTAGCAATCTTCTTATAGTCAGGCTGACAAATCAAAGGGATATACATTACATATACATTTCTTTTTTTCCCCTTTTTAACATAGGTCATCTATGATTTTGTTAAAAGAAATATATATCAACTAATGGAACTGAAATGCATGATAGTTAGTTTGAATGACAATAAATGTTAATATTTTTATATAAGATGATACATTAAAAAGAATTGCTATTGATAGTCCATACAGTTGAAAACAACGCTCTTATATATGTTAAGTTGGTAGAAATTATCAGGATATCATCAGGAAATAATGATATAGATTATTTCACAACGTGGAAGAAAGAGTTGTTGGTAAATTACAATTTGTTTGGAGAAGACAACATAGGCTGGCCAACTACAGGAGTACAACATTGGACGTCCAGTCTGATTTAAGAATAATGACATCGCTGGATAACCTATGATAAGATAAAGAACAAAGTAGATTTTAATTACATGTATGTTGTTGTTATTTAAGAAAGAGATCGGAGGTTTAAAAATTATACTTTAAATCAATATAATTATCTACATATTTATATTCCTTTATTTCAATGATAGTAATGACTATAAAATGTTCAACATCATCAACCAACATCATCAACTTTGTTGGTGTATTTATGTGAACATTTTTCCAAATTAACATGGCCTTTTACAAATTAGGTTGAAATGTATGCGAGAAATCATGATTCGTTCACCGTTCAATACTGATTCACCAGCCCTGCACTGCAATAAAAATAATTTTGTAAATAAGCGGTTGAATATCGAAAACAAAATGTTTTAATTATATTCAAACCATATTCCATGTCTTGAATGTTTGAGTTGCAACCATCCAGTTTGACCATATCTATTCCCCAAGAAGCAAATGTTTCGGCGTCTTTTTGAAGATAGAATTCGCTGCCAGGATACCCACCACATGTAAATGTCCCAAAATCTTCATATATACCGAGTTTTAATCCTTTAGCATGCATCTAGATTTATATACAAACACATGCATGTATGCTCGTTTCAATTTAGACATTAAAACATGCATCTGTTCATGAAATATACAAACAGATGTAACGTAGTTACTTTGATATGCTTACTGGAAAAAGAAAAAATGCACTGAAGCCAATGTCAAACATCATGGAAATCGCTTTCTATCCTCCACAGGTGTGCCTAAGAAAAGATGCTAAATAATAAATATTAATTTGTGCCATTAGAATTTTTTTTTCTCTAAATATATAAAATGAAGACAGAAAAGACATCGTGGAAATGATACATACGTAGTCAGCAAGCCATTTCATGCCATGTGGGAATCGTTTTCTATCTGCTACAAGTGTACCGTTGGCGTCTCGTTCCTTCTCCATCCAGCAATCATCTACGTTCACGTACTCGTAACCTTTATCCTTGTAGCCTTCCGTTACCATTGCGTCAGCCATTGCTGTGTATAAGTTCTCACTGACAATTGTAAATAACAAATTACAAAAACTTGGTTCAGTGTTCGGAAGGAATATTTAGCACGTTTCAAGTCAGTTTCCTGTATTTATCAGCAATGGTGTCATAATTATAGCGAATCTTGCTTGTGACCGTTGTCCTGTTCGAACAGATGATTTGTTTGTTTGCCAGATTCCTTAAATACTTGAGTACCACTGAAAGGTCCCCAAACTATGATACCACTTCCCTCATAACTGCTTGAAATAACATTAGACAGAAAAAATTTAAATGCATGTACATGTACCGTCAAATTTATTTGTTTGTTTAATTTTGAGATGCCAAACTTTGGTGTAATGCTTCTTACTTGTTGAACTGTTAAAGGTTGTGACGAATAGAAAAGATGTAAAACAACAGTAATGACATATTAATGTTTTCCAAGTGTTCGTACCTGATACAGTTATCTGGGTCATTGTCACAGTCAATGTTACATCTATATCGTTCCCATGACAACCATCCCATAGGTGGCGTCACAGCCAAACCATTGTCTAGTCCCTGGCTTATACTACACAGTGTTACAGACAATATAAGTGTAAAAATCATTGTGACGTTTTCATCTATAAATAAACAACTTCAAATTTAATTATAACATCAAACATGCGTTAAATAAAAAGAAAGAACTGTTGCTATGCAAAATTAAGCGGTCTTACGTGTTTCATTGAATAGATGTTTCGAGACATTTCTATGTAAAAGCATTTACTCTTGAAATAATGTACATGTATATCTAACTAGAAGAGGACCATTACATTCTAAAAAAGAAGCAGAGGAAGAGGGAAAAGATGAGGAGAAGGAGTAAAAGGGCAATATGATGATGATGATGACGACGACGACAATGATGATGATGATGATGATGGTGGTGGTGGTGGTGGTGGTGAAGAGATAAAGAAGTGGGAGAATTAGGAGGAAATAAGGAGGAGGAGGAGAATGTGAAGAGCGAGAAGGGAGTAGAAGAATAAGAAGTGAAGTAGAGAAAACACAAGAACGTGCCTTGTTGGTTATAGGGGACAAATTGATCAATTTTATTGTAATCAACAAGGGTTTCCCTCATATCCTAGTTTTATTTTATATAGATACATTGAACGCAATTACAGAAGTGTAAAGACACGCCCAAGATGTGAGTTTTAACTGATTATTTAAAGTTTTTCCAATGACGTTCGATCTATCTAAAACCGAACATAGACTGCTAATATAACATTAGGTAACTTATCTGTAATATTTTTAAATAGTTTCCCTGTGGTTGAAGCTGGTGACCTACATTTATACCATTGAAAATTTGAGACATCATTTCATATCATTATAAATGGTTGTAGAAAATCCCTCTTGACCATTATTAAAAGGGTAAACAGGAGAGTCATGCCAGTTTAGTGAAAAGAGGTTTGATTTTAATAGATAAACATGTAAATGGTAACAGATAACAAAAATACCTGAGACGGTCGTTTGATGATCACATTAGCTAACTTTATAGCACTTTTGTGGACTGGCAAAATGATCTGTAGCTAGTTAGGTACATGATAACAAGAAAATAATAGAAACCTTGGAATAAACGTTTATAAGCGTTTGTACATGTATACGCACTAATATCCTACATTTTAGTATAAACATTTAATGATAAAACTAATTCACTTACTTGTTTCAGGTCTCGGTTTATCATATGACATGTAGTCCTATATATATGTATTGTCAATATTTTGATAAATATAAAGACGTTGGTCGTTTATATATAATAACAGATTTAAAGTTACACAAGCTAACTGTTTCTTTGATAAAGATCATTTGGAAGTAAAGTATACTCCGACGCATGTAACCGAAATAAAATATACAAAATATCTTCATTTCGATTCGAGATATTTGCTAGGGAATATGGTATTATATTACGCTTGTAGCGGATATTGTAAAATTTCACTTTGAGAAAATAATGATATACAGTGGGTAATGCAGTTAAAACATTTTAAAAAATCAAAATGATATCTATAGTGACGACATAAGCATTTATAAACCATGCACTTTTTCTAATTATAGCATAAAATCGGCTATTTTTCCCTATTTTGCCCATGTTATAACGGGACCAAAACCATGTGTTAACATAGTCACGCGCTCTTGTTATAGCCCGGTTTCACCTATGCGCAATACATACAGGGCCCAGTAAACAAACAAAAAAAATGACGATTTGGCCTGTTTGCCAAAGAGTCATGCGCTCTTGTTATATTGAAATTATGGATTCGAGGGCCTCAATCGCATTAAATACGGCGAGCAGCATTCAAGTAACTATGCCGGAAATACGGCGTATATACATCGCTGCTAATCTTGGTTGTCGCCCTTTCTAAGAAACGGACAGTTGTCAATGTAAACAAATTACTGGCATTCAGTTTAACCCTCCGATTAACTTACAAAACAGGATAACACAAAATGAATATGAGAACATGTTGTTTTATTGATGCTTATGTTGATAAATGCTCTTTATATTTCTTTGAGAGAATAATGTTTAGTGCCTGATTTTTTTTATAAACTTGTGTGCTTGAAAAAACCCGATTCTGATGACGTGACTGATCTTTTTTCTACCGTCAATCTGAAATCATTCTAAGAATTTCTGAGGGTCATGTTTTGTATTGGGAAGAGTAATGTAACGTTGTTGTTTTTTTTTCCTTGAGATAATATTTCTCCAATGTCAAGCTTTATAATATCAATTAAAATTCAAAATTTCGTTCGGTTCGTTGTTGGCCCCGGAAAAATAAAACGTATACGTAAAACATGTAGAATTGGATAAATACCGTCCAAGCACAAGGATTTAATGTATTGTGTTTTGTATTAAATATACATCATGAATCTGTTTTAAAATTTTATGCTATAATAGCGTCAACGCACGTTTATTTCGTGTTATAAAGTCTGCAGAGTCCCTCAGAACTGTTGGAGCCCTCGCCCTACCGGGCTCGGGGACCAACCGTTCCTCGGGACTCTGCAGACGTTATAACACGGAAAAACGTGCGTTAACCCTATATTATAAATAAATTCAAAAATACAATCTGAATTATTTTAAAATATTTAAATGCATTTCATCTTTTTTGTCTTCTATTAACTGCAAACATAAGGGAGAACATTCAAAATACGAAACCAGTGGTCATTATACATTACTCTCCTTGCATAAAAAGACGAAACAAAACAATAACAATACTTTTTATAAGTATTATTATCCAATGTAATGACTTTACAGAACCAAGTTTTAGATCATGTGTGCATTAATTTATACTGATGAGATAACAAAAGGGAAATATTCAAAATCGAAAGTATGAATTGAAATTCCACAATTTCCTTCCGTTAAGCTGCGGTCTCACTTACTCCCGGCAGAGCCCAGGACCACCCCGGTAAGTTACTAGGATGATCCTGGACGATCCGGGGTGAAATTATTGTTGCGATCACACTAACCCCGGCAGCACTACAGTAATTCGCAACTAACCACTCAGGATGCGCTCCGGATGATCCAGGCAGAGCCCAGGAAGTGCCCCGGTTGACCAAGGCAGAGCCCCGATCGATCCGGGCAGAGCCCATGACGATCCAGGCAGAGTCCCGATAGAACCCAGGTGGATTGAAAACGCGCGAAAATTATTACATTGATACATATTTTTTATTTAATATTATATCTATTGTTCCAGAACAGTAATTCATGATGATTTTCTGAAAAATCCTTATGCAAGACTAGATAAAAAGGAAATGGGAAGGGTTTTAATACAAACAAGTAAAATCATCGCAAATTGTCGTGATTCTTTTGAAATGAACCGGACTTTGCCGGGGCTCTACCGGGATCAAACGTAGCTCCATCGTTCTCTTCCGGCTCTGCCGGCATTCACCGGGGCTCTGTCGGCCTTAACCGGGGATCTGCCAGCATTCAACGGGGCTCTACCGTATATCATGCCCGGGATCATCCCCGGTTTGTGTCGGCAGAGCTACGGTGCTTCCCCGGTGTAACCCCGGTCTTTTCCGGCAGAGCTAAGGATGAAGCCGGTAAAGCTATACTTCCCGGACCACCCCGGTGATATTAAATATTCTATTCCATTCGGGGTCGAATGCCGGATGTTCCCGGATCATCCCGGACGTTGCCGGCAGAGTTACGGATGCACTCCGGTTGTTCCCGGTCGAACCCCGGTCTTTCACGGATCACCCGGATAAAGGGTTCGAACCTACCATCACTTGAGACGAAAACATGCATATATTGATATGTTAGAGTTTTTAATAATTGTGTACGTTTTCGAATACTAAGATTAAACTTGCATTTTGATGGAAGCGGAAAAAAGCATTATGTATGGATAATGCTATCCTACGAAATGAAACAAGACTTGTTCGATGAAAGAATTATTTCAATCACTACTTTATTTACTGATTCGTTTATTTCCGAGGACATTTTGATTTTACTTTTCTTTTCTTTTTTGCGGAAAGATGCACAAAAACATGTTGACATATTCAATGTATAGCTATATCTTTTGTATGAATTTCTATGCGATAGACCTATATACAGAAGACTGACAGTACTTTTTTAGAAACACTTTTGGGCATTTTTTTCGATAAATCATTACAAATCTTGGTATGTAGTTTAACTAGCCGACTTTTTCTCAAGGTCATTCTTTTCGTTTTGTTTAATTGAGAATCTGTTCGCCGAACTTAACTCTAATAAAGAATTGTCACCCTGCGGCAATTGTGTATGTTACAAAATATTAGTTCCATTGTTAAGAACTTTCTTTGTTTATACAAAATCAGAAATCAATGTATTAACATATTAAAAGTGTCCAGAAGTGAAGTTTGGCGGAACCTGCAGCACGTCTCCTACATTGCTTAATCAAGCAATTAAAAGTTAATTCAGCTTGTTTATGCGTTTGATCCCCATACATAATTTATTTCATTGAAGGGAAGCAAATCCTAATATAAGTTTATTACTCTAAATGTTCCAGTTTTTACCCTTGTATTTTTTGGATAATTTTCAAATAGATAGATAGATTGTATAACAATCCAAATAAGGGAGTTAACAATTTTAATAAAACATTTTGAAATAATGTAACATGATATGTAATAATATAATATAATACTTATAACACTTAATACTTAGCATTTGTCTGTATATATTAAAGTATGATAAATAAGGCTGAGCAATTGTTTTGATTTTTTTCATATGTTTGAATATATGTTCCAATAGATAGATACTCATAAGCATAGTTCTACTATTGTGATTTATGTTACACTCCAGTAGCGATTTCGCGATATTGCTTACACTAATAGTCACGTTTTCCGTACTTATAAACTCGTACGGTAGCGTTTCCGTCACCTATCCAAAGGTTACCAGTTTTGTCCAGCGCCATCGCATTCGGCTTGAAAAGTCCATCTTTTTGCGATAGAATGAAGCCAAGGAATTCCCCTTCACCATTTACCATATGGACGCAATGATTTCCCCAGTCAGAAACTAATAAGTTATTTGCCCTGTCACAACAGAGGCCTAATGGGTTAAAAGGTTGTTTCGTTTTCACCTCTGTAGGTCCAGTATAAACAAACTTACGGCATCCTTCTTGGTCAATTCTTATTACTCGCAACTTTCCCTCTTCTCTATCGGTAACGCACAATTCTCTGTTAGGTGCTTCCGAAATTCTATATGGTGCTCCGAACAAAACCGTGTCACCGTCTTCGTCGATTTCATCAATGTTCATTCCATATTCCGACATTTTCATTAAACATCGATAGGAGTGAGCAGCCCGACGTGTTGTATAACTGTCTACCGCGCACACAAATAGTTCCTTCCTTTTCGTCATTACCATTCCGCCAGGATAAAGGTGAGGCATCGCGAAGTCACACACAACATGTTCTTTATTAATCTTGCGGATATACTTATCCTCATAACTTGACACAAGAATTTCACCAGATGGTGTGACACACATATGATCAACCTGAATATCAAGTGTCACCTTTTTCTTTCTTTCACCTGTTATGGAATATAGATAAACATCTTTTGATCCCCATCCGCAACAGATCCATGCCTCTTTATCTGAAATAGGAGCTATCGCTTGTACAGTATCTGCTGTACTTTTAACTTTGAATGCTGCTATTGAGCACATTTCAAACTCTTTAGCTACACGAATTCCCCACGGGACAGGCAATGTGGGCAGCGCAATTTCTCCTTTGGTAATTTGACCAAACAGTTTTGTTAATGAATCAAACTTAAGTCCTCCAGGTACGAAGCCAACGGTTGCAACGGTGTCACGTGACAATGATGGGAGTTCGTCTTCTACCTGCATAAATCTTTTCTGTATTTGCTTGGATGACTCGATCACGTTTATATCACTCCCAATTTTAAGAATTCTTTCTGCAGATGCAGCAACAGTAGCTATTGATTTGTAAGTGTTGATGATGTTCTTCGCCTCCTTGTTCAAATCGTCAGATTCTACTTTATGTTTTTCTTTGACTTCATTTATAATTTGCTGTCCTATCTTTTCAATTTCCCTCTGCAAGAATTTTGATCTTGCTTGGATATCTTTAATAGTATTCTCCAAGTCTTTGTCTAGTTCTTTTTGTCCCTTTCGAACCTGTTTCACAAAATCTTCAAACTCGGGGAGATATTCTTTGATAGCACCTAGAAAATGAGTTAAAGATCCACGTATTGATTTTGCCATTTCTGCAGTTTCTTGAACGGCATGTGTTTTGTGCTTGTCGTCCTTACATTTTACACATATATTTATTTTACATTTTGTACAAAAGACGTTAACTTCTTGGTCTGAATGTTTGTTGCAAAAGCTCATCTGCGTTAGTTTTGTGGAAGGGGTTGGTTTGTTTTGTGTACATACAGGTTGTTCAACAAATTCCAGGAAATGATGAACTTGGTCCGATTCCGGATTACAATGTTTTTCTTTACATATTTTGCATAGATTAACATCACAGTTGAGACATCTGCTATGTGCAAGTTCCTTATCCGGACAAATATCGCATTCAGACGTAGTTGTAAGCTTCCCAAGATCTTGGCGTGCCTTGATGTAAAAGTCTTTTGCAATCGCACTGAGACCGTCTTTCGGAATGAGCATCTCTTTCTGACATAATGGACATAGAAGGGTTTTCTTCCATTTGTTCTTAGTCACGTGTTCCTGTAAACATTCCATGCAAAAAGAATGTAAACAATTAAGAAGACGTGGATCACGATATGGCTTAACACATTGTCCACACCTAAGCTCGTCCCCTTGTGAATTATTCTCCTCTTTCTTCGATGACATTTTATTCTTTTTCCTAGTTTCTGGTTGAAACAAATTATTAGTCTTAGCTTCTCTATACTTCTTTCGTGTCTGCAAGTATTCTGTTTCTTTTTTATAAGTTTTAATACATTAAGTTTCGTATAATGTGATATTATATTCCTTCAAATAAATGTTTTTTTTCGCTATAACAATTTACCGAATCACGAGTGTAACTGTTTGGTGTCAGTTAGTATAACTAGAACGATCCCACAGCAATGTCACCTACAGAACCGATAAAATCAATAGTCTTTGGCACTTTTTATTTCATTTTAGAACTAAATTCCACACACCAAGCTGCGACTTGAATGTTAACTTTTCGTCAAGCACTTGTTATCGAGCGTAAAATAATCATTTGGCCTATACTTGAATTATTATCACATAATATTCCAAATAAATTGTTCTACGTGTTTGTAAAATGTTTGCAATCCTGAGATATTAGTATTAAATCAGATATCTGGAATGCAGTCCAATATGTCAACTACGCATTAATAGATTGGATCGCTTAGTTTCAAATATTGCCAATGTGTGTTTATATGAAGCTTTTATCTGTAACATGTTTAAAGTCAAGAATGAAATTTAATACCCGTATCACACTCAATAAAGCTTATAATAATCAATTCTTTATCAATTTATGTAAGAGGTTCTTCGCTCTTTTGTGATGGAAGTATAAAGGTAATATAAACATTTTATCTGGTTTGAATAAATTAAACATATTCTTTTGTTCAGATCACGGAAAAAGGCCATTTATTTCTCATCTCAATTCTTTTCATTTTAATATTCTACTGTCAAAATACTACATTTATCATTTACAGGCATTCATTAATTGTACTGAATAATTTCTTACACAAATGTAAACTTTTTGTTGTTGTTGTACATTAAAGTAATTAAAATCTAATAAGATAAAGTTTTAAAATTATTGCTTAGGGTAAAACACCAATTTAAAAAGACATGTTACTGATCTCTTTTTTTTACTTTTGAATTACAAATAATTGAAAAATTTAAACCTGTCTCGCATTTTATTCTAATCTCGTTTTCAATGGAAAGACAATCTAATAAATTGACCCTTAATCAATCTGCAAGCAACGGATTCTCAACTTAACATATAACTTTTATTATGATTAGATACTAACATGTAAATTCTAAGAAAAAACAACAACAATAATCAATGAAAAAGCAATAAAAACAAAAAGAAACAACGCACGCCTGTTCCCCACAGATCACTAGATCAAAGATCTTAGACTTGTGAGTTAGAAACTTGGAGTCCAATGTATTCGTATATGACGGCGTCAGTCGGTTAGGCAATGGTGATATAGAATAATGTGCACAACAAGGGTTTGTATACTACTAAATACGACTATAAATGACAACTAAATTCAAACAAACAAACGAACGAACTAATAAACAAGCAAGCAATGATATACAAATACAAGGTTTATTTAATTATTATACTATGTTCATACACACAAATAGGAAATTAACGGACTGATATCAAATTCAATTGCAGGGCCTCCTTTATCATACGTTGCTTCCATTGACGCAGACGATATTGATATTTAACTATGAGCTTGAATAGATCGTTTTGAATTTTTTCCAATATTATCAAAATGAACTCTTTATAGTTCCATTGAAGTTAATAATTGTAGCTGCATGCTTTAATTGTGTGGCATTTTGTCCTTGGCGTATCGAACACGTGGTTCAATGTTATATACTAACATTTACACAAATCTGTCTAGTTTGTTCTCTTTTGTTTGCAAGATATTGTCTAACTTATGATAATATTATTTTAATTGATGTATAGCTGTTTGCTTTTAGATTGATAAAAGCGATATGACATTTAACTATTATAATAATTGCTAAGTATGTAATAAAATACTTAGTATTTGAAATTGTAATTGAATATATGAAAGCCTTCAAAGTTATTAAAGATATTTGAGGAGTACATAAAGTTAAAAAGAATTAGCCTGGCCGTTGATGTGAAATATGTGTTGTATTTATGATACATCAGCGTTGTTTTTGTTTTGGGTTTTACGTCACATCGACACAGTATAGGCCTTCCAGCTTTACTGGTGGAGGAAGACCTCAGGTGCCCTTCCGTGCATTATTTCGACGTTACGTAAGCTAGCTGGATAGCTTCCTCACATGAAAGAATCCAAAGTCCCTGTCGGGATTCGAACCCACAGCGGTGAGGGGCAAGTGGTTTGAAGTCAAGGACCTTAACCACTCGGCTACGGACGCCCCAACATCAGCGTTGAATATAACTTTTGAAGTAACACAACAACATGACACAAGTGTTCATCTTTAATTATTTAAAAGGGCAGAAAGGAAGGGAGATAATATTTTTTAGTATTTTTATATAATGGTAATAATTGCTCCCCTTTTTGTTATCAATATATTTTTGTTTGGCATGTGATTAATGTATTACTCTACGTGTTATGGTTGTTTCACAAATGTCTTACGTAACCATTTATCTACGGTTTAAGCCACCGTGACACACACAGAACTCGGAACAATGAAAACACGAAATAACTATTGTGAAAAGTTGAAATAACGAATCTACACTGATGAAAAGTCAAATCTACACTGATGAAAAGTCGAAAGTTTGATGCTAAGAAATCGAAATCGTGAAAAATCGATATTATTTCGATTTTTCACTATCGTACTTTCGACTTTTTACCATCGAGATTTCGATAATTCGACTTTACATCATCACACTTTCGACTTTTCATCATCGTAGTATCGTATTTTCACCATCGTACAGGTCTTCAACTCCTAAGACTTGTCACCAAACTACCTAAGACTTTTCACTTTCCTGTTAAGCATACGCATTGAATGAAAATTTATAAAAAGATGTCATCCGATTCTGAAGAAGGTTCGTATTTAAAGGGATTTTATAAAATAATCTATAAGATATCTTTATGACCTCTTGAAAATGAATCAGAATTTACACTTAGTTAAACTAAATTAAAATCTAATAATAATAAAAATACGAAACCACGATAGTGAAAACTCCATATAATTTCGTGTTTATATCATCGTATTTTCGACTTTTTATCATCGTATTTTCCACTTTTCAACATCGTGATTCCGTTATTTCGACTTTTCATAATCGTAGTTTCAACTTTTCATCATCGTGGTTTCGACTTTTCATTATCGTAGCTTCGTGTTTCCACCATCGTATCTTCAACTTTTCACAATCGTACCTCCGACTTTTCACCATCGTACCTTCAACATATTACTATCGTAGTGTGCCTTCCTGTTGAAATCTATATAAACATGTCACACGATTCTGAATCAAATAATCTATGAGACATCTTTTTGATATAAAAAATAAATCTTAGTTTTACTATATCAAGAACTATGCAGATCTATGGTCAACATCCGGCGATGAAAAGTCGAAACCACAATGATGAAAAGTCGGATTATCGAAACCACAATGATGAAAATCGGAGTATCGAAACCACAATGATGAAAATCGGAGTATCGAAAACACGATGATGAAAAGTCGGAGTATCGAAACCACGAAAATGAAAAGTCGGAGTATCGAAACCACAATAATGAAAAGTCGGAGTATCGAAACCATGATGAAAAGTCGGAGTATCGAAACCACAATGATGAAAAGTCGGAGTATCGAAACCACGATGATGAAAAGTCGGAGTATCGAAACCACAATGATGAAAAGTCGGAGTATCGAAACCACAATGATGAAAAGTCGGAGTATCGAAACCACAATGATGAAAAGTCGGAGTATCGAAACCACGATGGTGAAAAGTCGGAGTATCGAAACCACAATGATGAAAAGTCGGAGTATCGAAACCACGATGGTGAAAAGTATAAAATACGATGGTGAAAAGTAAAAAATACGGTGGTGAAAAGTCAAAAGTATGATGTTGAAAATGCGAAATAACGAAACAACGAAACCAAGATGGTGAAAGCTCAACAGTACGATGGTGAAGAATCGAAATAATCGAGTTTTATACCATCGTGGTTTCGTTATTTCGACTTTTCACCATCGTTATTTCGTGTTTCGTTATTTGTTATCGTTATTTCGTGTTATCGTTATTTCGAGTTATATCACGATGGCTCTAACGAGACACTGTTTTGAATAGACAAATTACATGAATTAGGTATATTCTCTTTCAGTTTCTTTTGTAACACAGGCCTCCGAGATTTTTTTTAGTTCTTATAAACTGTTTTCTAGGGGTGATTTCAGATGAGAAGGTCGTAATTAGTGATAATATAGAGAAAAAATTATAACTCCTACAGCGCTAGATTGGATTTGGAATTGAGTTATCTTTCTTTGCAAAATTTATGTTTTTGGTCACGTGTAACTTTAATATAGTTTCAATACTCGTATAATATAATAACAATATTATTTTCACACACTAATTTTTTGTATAGACTTTACAATAAAAAAGTTACTTTAACCTCTGAAAAAGGTCATTCAAAATAGGATTTCGTTTAATTTTACGCTCAAATAACTTTATATGCATGCACATATGAGAGAAAAAATAATTTCTTTTAAATTGCACATGAAACCTTAAAAAAATAATAAGAAATTTGTCATTTTCGAAAATAGACTTACGCGGAAGACGTACAGTAATTGCGTATTGTCTATTTTTGTTTTGGTTTTAGTATTGGTAGTAAGTACATAACGAAATATTTGTGGTTTCACATATCACATTGTGTTTGGGCGCTATTGTAGTATAGTTTATGTTTGTATTTCATTCATAATTTCTGTCTATACAGAAGGTGCTTTTTCACGTTAAGTGTTGTTCTCATTTGGTTAGTATATTATTTCGTTGTTTTGTTGTTGTTGCTGTTTTTTTAATTGTTTTTTATTTTATTTTTATTTTTTTGTATTTGTTCCACTGTGTTTAGCTTGTTAGCGCTTTAGGTTAGTAATAATTTTTATTAATTTATTTGAAGTGAAGACATGTTATTATAATATACTATAAAAATGAATGTGTATGTCTCGGTTGGCTTATATTTCTTTTTCACAGGGAAATATTTAAATATCGTCTTAAAGAAATGTCTCAATATGAAACCGAAAAGATTTCTTTAAAACAATAAATTGACTTCATCTTTTGAAACATTTAAGATGTTACTCAATATTTGTGACGTTCCGAAGGAAACCGTATATGAATCTGGTTCGAAACAGGTATGTGTGATGATTATAAAAATCTTAATGCAGGAAATTAATTTGTGAGATAAGAGAAAAAATATGGGAACCGGTAAATTGAATTTGTGACACTAAAAGTAAACTTATAAAAAACTGGTCTATTTGACACTTAAAACAACTTACAGGGAAACTGGTATTTAATTCAAATGAAAATTTATGGTCACTGTTTAGGTAAAGCTATTAAGGGGGAAATTTATATTTGGGGTGTATGTTGAACATAATATGAATTTTTATACTTTTAAGCTATCGAGGTTTATGGCTTACAGCTTTAAAAGGCTTTTTACGCTTAAAGAGGATTCTAGTTTATATTGTAACTAGCTTATCAAGAAACTGTTGATTGTGTGAAAAATGAGGACGGCATTTTGTATAAAGGAAACCTATAGAAAGTAAAAATATACTGGTATTTGCAATGAAACTTAGGGACTTTTTTAAAATACTATAGGGAAACTTGAAAAGTATTTGAACGATATGTCTTAAAGAAACGTAAAGGGACACTGGCATTTGCGACGTTTAAAGAAAACCTAAAGCCGTATAGGGAAACAAATATCGTGATGCTTAAAGAAAACTAATAGGGAAAATGATTTGTGTGACTTATAGGGAAAATTTGTAATTATAACATCTAAAGAAACTTACAGGGGTCCTTGTATTTTTGACGTTTTAAGGAAAATAAAGCGAAAATTGTATTTGTAGTGTTTGTTCATGTCTGCATTGTGTATGTGATTATCTAAGACTTTAATACAATTGGTTTATGTCTCTGACGAGTACGCGTATTTCGAAACTTGTCTAAAATTTAGTGTTTATTTTAAGAATACAGTCAAAATGACGGAATAGACAAATTAAATTACCTAACATATAAAAAAAGTCATGGCTAGACATAAATTTTGAAAAGCACGTTTCAGATTGACATAAAAGTGCAGCAGACGACAATAACAAGTTGGATAACATTGAACTTGCATTGATATTTCTTATCTAATGACTAAACAATGCAGAAGCGCGCATGTTCCATGACAATATGATGAATATCGCTTTAGTCGGAAGCCTTTGATGTCATCGATCTAAAAGCTATTGTTGATATTGTTTCGTGGCAAAGGGGGCGTAGTTTTAGGCCGTTATGTGCGCTATACACGCAATCGTTTTTCGTTTATAATTGTAGATTTGTATTGTTATAAGCAGTGTTAAATGATGACAAATGTTAAGTAACAATGACAAATCATTATCTATTAGTCAAAGAATGTAATAGAGATTCAGGTTTTTACTTATTGCACTAAGATTTAACATTCTCTACATTCTTGAACGATTTTTACCCTCTGTCTATATATAATAACTAATCAAAAAGTATGCGCAGTAAGTTTTTTTTTTATATTTTGAATGTTATTTTCACGTAATTCGTTAAAGGTAATTTAAGTCAATTGCGAGTGGAGTATATGCAATGGTTTGAACTGAATATCATATAAATATATTAGTTTGTTACGATAAATGTTTCTCGCATAAATATTTATATCCCTAATCAGTACAATATTGAAGTAAACAAGATAAATACACAGACGGTCTTATTTTCAAGGACTTTTCGGTTTAAGATGTTTTTGCGGGCTTTACATATTTTGCTGCGCGTGCATATTAAAGGCATTTTGGCAACGGAAAGTTTTGATCTGCGCACTTTGCACGCCTTTCAGAGGATATGAAAAGTCGGATTAATACGGCATGAGCGTTTTTGTTATTAATTATGAATATTTATTTATCTGTTTCTGGGAAAGAGCCAAAATTGTTAGGCTATCTAAAAGAAGAAAAAAATGATATTGAAATATAGGGATATTGATTTGTCTGTATTTCTAATCTCTGGAGCATATCTTGATGTATTTACAGAATTTTTTAATGAAATACTGCATCCAATGATGTGAGGAAAACCAGCCAGTAGTCTGCAAAATATAGCAACATATTGCGTTTGTCCGCTTACTGCGCATTTATTGAATGCTATCAACGCATCCAAAATGTATTTGCACTTTTACTCTGAAAGCAACCGTGATATAGATCTATAGTGCGCCAATAATAGAGATTTAATTAATTAATCGGAACACTTCTACAATTGAAAGATTTTTATGATTACCAAAATGTTCGAGGCAATACGAAAGTACTTTGAACAGCGAATTTGTTTGAGTTCTGTTTAATTGTGCTAATATTAATTGCGTCGCATGTTCCGTGTAAATGACCTTTAAATTGAACTGTTTAAGAGAAAATTGAAATATATTTCATAAAAAATCTCACCACCACTTTTCAATACTTAAATGTTACCATAGTTACCTTCCCTGAAGACTTACACTGATCATTTGACAAAGATTGTGTGTACACTCTATAACCATTGCCAAATCTACTTCATCTATACTATATATGAATCAGCTTTTTAAATAGAACGTTTTATTTTAAAGATCAAACACGCTGGATTCGCTAAATGTAACGAGTCAACTTAAAGTTTTAAATAAATCTATTAATCAATGACTTAACCACAGCAGATAAACGAAATCACTGTACCCTGTCTTGCGAGCCTATAAAATTGATTGTTTTGTAGTAGCACGAGGTACGAGTACAAGCACGTGTTACTTCCGATCACTGTACCTTTCTTGGGAGCATATTTATTTTAACTTGAACCTTTCTCGGGATAACAGGAAGTTGGCTCGTTAATATACCGCTTGCCACACTTCTACGCAACCGTAAAAAATGACAACGGTTCTTTAATTTCTTAAATGATAAAACGTTCTAGACCAATGCGATGGAATTGATTTTGATAAAGCTTCTATAGTTTCAATATCATGACAAAGGTTTAAAGCCAATCTCAGGAAGTTATAACAATGAAACCTCTTTTTTATGACAAAGTATATATATCATTTGATTATTTTTAAAATTCACGGTAAGCAAAAAAAAAACAAACATAAAAAACGACGTTTTGCTGAATTTTAATACATGTAAATACATATATTTAGTAGGTGTGTTTTTATACGTACTTTACGCGACCAAGCGCGTGCCACATCTCTACGCAACCGCAAAAAATGACAAGAATGTAAATTCATTTACATATAATTATTATTTCACCATTAAACAGATTCTGTTTTAACAATCCCTATCCAAATAAGATCCATTTCTGACGTAAGATCAGACTTGTCTTAATTTATTATGTTTTTCTTAAAAATAACACTCCTTTACTTCTGTAAACACAAAAAAAGTGTTTTTGTTGACTTTATTTGTATAAAAATGAAATAGCAAGATTGAATTGAAGAAAAAAATGTTGATAAGTATTTTGTTACGAGTCATTCTCACTTACAAGTATGCTTGGCATTATCATTCGATATTAAATTGTCTGGGAGACTGGATCATGTGACACGCGCGTGTGAAATAATTTCTCTTACCAGTCCTACGCATAAACCCTCCCAGCTTGCTGAATCTCAGTAAGGGCTTATCAGCTAGTAAATCACTATTAACTGTATATCTCCCATTAACACGTCAACTGAGTTGAGAGTCTTGTCATTATTAATTGGCCCTCTGTATTCTTATCTAATGGCCCTAACATTGAAGGATCAAATTTCTGAACATACTCTAACTTTTATGATGTTTTTTTCTCTGGGTCTGCGGCCCAAGTGAAATGTGAAAGTTTTAGCAATAATTTGAATTATTTGTAAATATTATACTTAATATCACAAGATAAATTTTAGCTACTAAATGAATTATATGTTAGGATATACCTTTATAAGTGATAATCATCTTCGTAATTAATAACCTTCCATAGTAAAGTGTCACTGTTCAGTGTTACTCATGTAATTACTGAGTGAACTGCCTACCCACCCCCACACCAATAAAAAACCGCTAAAAAACAAAAAGAAAACAAAAACATTGTATTTACTGCAATTTTAGTGCAAGACTCTTAACTAAGTGACCAGGTAAGTGATATTTGTATTATTAGCTCAACTATATCAAATATATGGAGAGCTGTCCTACTCATCATGGCTTGTAAGCCGGAGCCAGCGTACATACTTTAAATTAATGCTTATATGCAGTAAACATTTTATCTCTAACTTTTTTATTAGCTCATCTGAGGATTATGTCCGTGCGTCAAAAATTTCTTTAAACAACTTCTTCTCCTAAACCACGTAGCCAAATTTGTTGAAACTTTGCAGTAGTGTTCCTTGCATAAGGCTCTACCATGTTCAAAGAATAAAATTCCATGCAGAACTTTGGTTGCCATAGCAACCGAAAAAAAAACTTATAAAATGTTCTTTTAAAAAATCCAAAGAGCTAGAGCTTAGATATTTGGCATGAAACATCTTATACTGAGTGTCTATCAAGTTTGTTCAGATCAAATCCCTGGGGTAAAAATTAGCCCCGTCCCGAAGGGTCATTAATATTTTCCTTATAATATTATTATGTACACATGTATTCCTTATGATCATACACATCATGTGATAAGGTGTTAAACTCAAAAACCAGTATTTCCAGAACTATATCCCCTTGAACATATAATTTTCCATAAAATAATGTTATTTTTTTCTCTTTCTATTTGACTTACACTTCGAATATGTGTTCCTTACCATCAACTACATCATTTGTGACAATGTTGTTAACTCTAGCACCAATATTTTCAAGAATTATCTCCCCATGAACTCATTTTTTTCCTAAAAAAAGGTTACCTTTTTACTTACTTCTTTATTTCTTAAGGTATCTACTTCTAACTTAAAAATATATGTTCCTTATACATGTGTGACAAGATTCATAACTCTAGCATGAATATTTCCAGAATTATTTCCCCTTTGAACTTAGATGTTTTTATGCCCCTGAAGGGTGGCATATTAAAATTGAACCGTCCGTCTGTCTGTCTGTCAGTCCGTCAGGCTTTATACATATAGACAGTGGAGGTAGTGTCCGCTCTGAAACTTCAGTATGCATGAAAGTATTAATTTTTCTTTCATATATGAAAAAACCATAAATGTATGGTGAGTCGCGAACAAGACTCGGGTTCCTACGACTAAGGTCAAGGTCACTGTGGGGTTCAAACTTTGTCATTTTTTATGTTATATAAATATAGAAGGTGGTGGTCCTGTCCGCTCTAAAAACTTCAGTATGCATGAAAGAATTTTAATTTCTCTTTCATATATTAAACAACCATAAATGTATGGTGTGTCACGAACAAGACTCGGGTTCCTACGACTAAGGTCAAGGTCACTGTGGGGGTTCAAACTTTGTCATTTTTATGTTATATAAATATAGAAGGTGGTGGTCGTGTCCGCTCTGAAACTTCAGTATGCATTTTTCTTTCACATATTCAATAACCATAGATATATCGTGTGCCACGAACAAGACTCAGGTCTCTACAACTAAGGTCAAGGTCACTGTGGGGGTTCAAACTTTGTCAATTTTGATGTTAATATACATATAGGCAGAGATGGTCGTGTCTGCTCTAAAACTAATATGAATAAAAGGATTATATTTTTTATTTCGCATATGAAATTATCATAAATGTATGATGTGTTGCGCTTTAGACCCGTGTTCCTACGCCTTAGTTCAAGGTCAATGCTGGGGTTTAAACTTTTTCAATATTTATGTTATATACATATAAATGGTGGTTATTGTGTCCGCTCTGTAACTTCCATACATGAAAGTTTCAATTTTTTTAAAAAAAATATTAAGTCACCATAGATGGACAATTTGTTGTGAACCTAACCCAGGTTTTTTTGTCTAACTTAAAGGTCACTGCTGGGGTTCGAACTATGTCAATTTTTACCACCACACTTAACATGTTATAGGTGGTTTATAACTAGAATCTTTTGAGGCATTTGTCACGTTCTGTGACAGCTCTTGTTTATATATTATTTTTGTATATTGATATTTTTTGCACTTCAAAATATGTTTCTTAACACTTATATTAGGTGCGAATAGATTTATAACTCTAGCTGTATTTTGGAAATTATCTCCATTTCATTTTTGAACTTGGAATTTAGTGAAAATTCATATATTTCTAAGTATAATCTTTGTTATTAGAAATGATATCTACTCTAGACTTAAAATAATTGTTCTTTGTCATTACTTACATCATGCATGACAAGGTTCATAACTCTAGCATCTTTATTTCAAGAGATATTTTCTCTTTGAACTTATAACTTTACTATAAATTTAAAGGTCATCAATTTTTTACTATTTTCTGCTTTTTTGCAATTGGTATAGTAAAAGTGATTTAGTATTTTGTATGGAAGTCAAAATACTACTTTGTTTACATTTTGCTACCTTTTTTACAATTTTTTTTTTCACATTCAGAGATCTTTTTTCTACCAAATTGAATGAAAGTAATTTACATTAGTATCTTTATTTTGATCACAGGGACTCGGCACAGTGTTGGGGTAGTGTAAAAAGCAATTTTAGAAAAAAATACTTATAATTTTTTTTTCTCTAAAATTAATTTTACCCTTCACTATCCCAACACGGAACTGAGTCCCTGTGATTGTGAGTTGTAAGTGATTAAAAACCTTTTTTTAATGTAATCCAGTCTTTTTAGTCTTTAACTCTTATTAAAAATTGAATGTACCTATGAAAATCTTCGTTTTCCTTATATCTGAAATGTTCTCTATATCCTACAGCTTAAACTATACATTCTTGAAACATGATAGGATCATAAAACATTCAAGGGTGCTGCTATCAGTGATACTGTGACAAGCCATGTAATTATAATTAAATGCTCATCACTGGCCAGAGATAGCAAATTTTGGGGGAAAACTGGAAATATTGGGCTTATGCGTAGGACTGTTACTTTTGTTTCGACTGGGACTTAAAATTAATAATGATATCAGTGTGTCCCAGGTTTCGATCATTATTATATTTCACATGCAAGTACTTGTGCCGCGTTTGCGACTCCCTATAAACGGTACTGCACGCACGTGCATGAAATTATTTTGACGTGACGTCTTTTACGTAAAAAAACATAGCGTCATGTCAATGTTAGTTTTTATTTAAAAGCGATGATTCTTTTTGGCGGTAGATCAGAGACATAGATCTTGTTCTTAATTTTGTTAAGTGATCATTACAATTTTAAAGCTTCTTTACTAAGTCACACATATATATCTTATATTTAGCTCTATGACTAAGTTTATTGAAAACATTGAGTAAGAAATACTATGCTGACAGACCATAAAGTTCTATAAATTCAATTCAACGAGAAAAGGGACAGTAATCCTCCATGACTATCTACCGTACTAAGCTACTGTATGCAGACGTCTTAATTTTACATGTACTTGACGAATAAATACAGATGAGATGGTCGCAGGATTGCGTTTAAACATTTTCAATATTTTTATTTGTATATAGATCTAAGACAATTATAAAAGTATCCAAAACAGACTGGAAAATGTATGTCGGACGAGACCTTGAAGTCGACATAGCTTGCTGATATAACTGCTGAGGACAATCGTTCACCTCAAATGGACCAATCAAAGAAGAGTATTGATCGTAAGTCCCGCCTCCTTTCACATTTCAATTAACATAGTGTAGACGGTCACACGTTTTGTGTACGATTGAATGGAATACACAATTTGAGCAGACTTCTTTGTTTTCTGTTTAGATTTTTGAACTGGAGAAAGTGCAATTGTCTAGCGGAATATTTGGTGAGTTTATTTTTTTTGCAAATATTTTGAAACGAAAATAATTTGCAGACGAGGAAAGTGTTATTAGAAAAATTAAAAAGGATAGATGTGATGGTGATGTTGCCATTGTTGCACAACTAAAAGGAACACATGTGGATTGTAAACAGGGAATTGATACAAATGTATGAGTAAGTGAGGTTTAATGTCAACATTTCATGAAAGATCAGATTTTGGATGGAAATGTTAAGATAAATTGGTACATTTTGGACTTTATTTTTTTTTAAAATATAAATTAATTATCATAGGTTACTATGCTACTTGGTATACAATTTTGTGATATAAGGTTACTATGCTACTTGGTATACAATTTTGTGATATATGATTTTATTTTATAAATAGATTTTAAGGTAATTTAAGTTATTTAAATGTGGAAGCACACAAATGTAAAGTTGTGTGCATACTTAGTAGTCCAACTAATTAGACTTGTCAAAGAGACACCGATATAATTTTGGACGGGCGCTGTCTTTTGACAGTAATAAAAAAAAGTCTGTAAAATGGGTCAAACCGTTCACGCCAAATTAATTACGCTACATACTTAGTTGCAACTCAAGAGTCTGGCTGAACTTATCATCTAGAACTAATAGAGCTACACTTTAGAGAATGTCTGAACTCTTAGAACTCAGCAATTCAGAACCTGGCTGAACTCTTGGAATGGCAATTCATAGTCTGGCTGAACTCTTAGAACTGCAATTCATAGTCTGGCTGAACTCTTAGAACTGCAATTCATAGTCTGGCTGAAGTCTTAGAACTGAAATTCATAGCCTGGCTGAACTCTTTAAGTCTTAGAACTGCAATTCATAGTATGGCTGAACTCTTTAAGTCTTAGAACTGCAATTCATAGTCTGGCTGAACTCTTTAAGTCTTAGAACTGCAATTCATAGTCTGGCTGAACTCTTGCGATTGCAATTAAGAGTGTAGCTGAACTCGGAGAACTGCAATTCATAGTTTGGCTGAATTCCTTGAACTACAATTCATAGTCTGTACTATTAGAGCTACAATTCAGCGAACTCTTGGAACTCTTGGAATTGCAATTCAGAGAGTGGCTGAACTGCAATTCAGAGACTGCATGAACTCATAGAGCTGTAATTCATAGTCTGTTTGTCAGGCTGAACTCTTTAAGAACTGCAGTCCATAGTCTGATTGAACTCTTAAAGAGTCTGGCTGAACTTGTAGAACTGCAAGACAGGATGATCAGTGTGGCTGAACCCATGGTTGCCACATTTAAATGTGTACATGAGCAATCTGTGAATTAGTATGTTTTGTACATGACTTGTGCACATTTTAAGAATGTTCATGCTATATATGTTTGTCGCAGGAACAATCAAATAAAACCATAGCAATATAATTATGGTATTAACCCATTGCTTCATGAGCATTTTGTGAAAAATGGCTGTTTTCATTGAAAAGTCTCCCGTTACAAGTTCAAATTGCTATAATACTATAAAAACTGCTTCAACACTAATCAAACTTGGCACAAATGTTGACTGGACCATTGCCCTTGCAACAACATGCTCAGGCTTAAATTTTCTGTTACCATGGCAACGAGGGGACATCTCAAAATTGCCAAAAATCACTATTTTGCGTTGATTTTTTCCATCAAAATTGATTTCAAAGTGCTGCAACTTCTCAATGGATTGAGATAGAGTCAAATGCTTTTCAGCGTTGGTTACACGTTACCTTATGATCAATCTGGGGTCATTTACAGCCTCTCACAAGTCCAAAATTTTCTTGGCGATGAGGGGGACTCCGCCCCCCTTCAAACCCCCCAAACAGAAGGGGGCACATCCCCCTTCTGGCAACCCCCTGATGTATCTTTTGGTTGGGGGGCCGCGCCGAAAAAGAGGTCACTTTTTTTAACAACATTTCTCAAACAAAAACAAGTGTTTGGGGCCTAAATAAGGCATTTTTTCATCATTTGAGACAACAAAAAGGGGGGGGGGGGGAAAAAGGCGTTAAAAGGCGTGTATATGAAGTAATGGGTTAAGGCTTAAATGTGCATATAGTGTACATAATGTTTATTTTATAAAAATATGAAAAAAAAACTGTTGTGTGTATATACAAGCTCATGCAGGTGTATCAGTGTGTGTTTGAGCGACATAGGGGTTTCCTTAATAATTTCATGTATGACAGATCAGAGTAGACCTTAGGCCTAAAGCCCAGACTGAAGTTTATTTGTTATAACCTTGATTATGTCATTGTGAACCAAACAAATAAGATTTAAATAAAAATCATATTATGTAATATTAATATTCAATTATTGAAGTATTGCTTTAAGTTATTTATGAAAATAATTGGTTTAAAAGTGTACACTTTGAAGTGAATAATATTAAACATGTAAGTAAATTACCATGCTTGTTAAACGTTTCATGTCCCTGCCCTTTAGGGCAACTCTACCAGTTAGAAATTAGTCACATGAATTGGTAATGATCTAAGAATTTGTGGAATATGAATAGAAGGCTCCTGGGTATAGATAAAACTAAAAAGGGTCTGCATTCATGAGTAAATGTTTAGTTATTAAATTTGAAGGTGAAACCCTTTTATTGCCTGAAAAGATAAAGAAATTTACAAATATTTTTTCCCTTAATTCCGTAAGTTTTTTCACTCGGTTAACATGCATTACAAAAGTTCTTAACCAAATATTTTTTCTAAATGTCACCCAACCACTAGCTTACAGCAAAAACTAAATATTTGTGGACTTTTAATACTTCACCTGAGGACAACAGCCACAGATCTATAGATTAACTGACCTTGAGTGACATGGTACATGTGGTCTTAGGCACTGGTCAGCCTTTGGTCAAGTGGTTAATCCCTATTATAGACAGGATAAGTCAATTTTACACAAGTTAAGGTGTTAGTATCAGGTAAGAAAATCTTTTCCCACTTAACTGCCAGATTACTGATTGTCCTTTAATTAAATCAGCATGATTGCATGAATTATATTCCGAATTTATTTTGATTTGAAAAGTTTCCATTACGTTCTTATGTCATAGTCGGCAAACTGCATGTTTAGGTCATGTTGTACATGCTCCGATATTAATACAGTTATAAATAGTCTGTTAAGAAATAAGATAGAGCCCTATTAAATACCATGCTAAATTTGTGCATGGCCTTCTATAGGCCAAAGTTCTGTACGTTAATTTGTCAGTTTTAGGAATTTTAGGATCAATATTATTAAAATCATAATGAACAGTCTACCATATTTATTAAAAAAAGTTTTGCGGACTGTAATACTTTCATGGGCATCATGCAGACAGTCAATCTGGCTTTCACAGCACTAATGGCATATCTGCACATATGTTGAGAAAGTTAAATAAATGCAGCTCAGCAAGCGCTACCAGTACAGTACCTACATGTACTACAGGTGTATGATAGAATTACAATATTCAATAGTTAAAAGCGAATCAAAATTTGAAGAACAATTAAATAGATTAATAGTGATATGCAGAAAGAAATTGTAGATATGCATTTATAAGGACCTTAACTGCATTTTAAAATAAAACGCAGATGAATACTTGGGTGTTGGTGCAAGGTTTACTTTTGGGATGGTGAAACCTTATGTAAACATTTAAAAACCTAAGGATGGGATAAATTTGTGGTAGGTACATGCTATATATGTTATGTTATAGATTGATCATTGCAAATAAAATCGCCTTTAAAGATAGAATTTTAATCAGTACTTCTGTCTTGTTTCCTTTGATGGTGATTAGACAGGTCATAGACGCGAAGATAGTGATCCAAATATAACCTAATTACCTACATATCATATTGCGATAAAAATAGTGCGACCTAATTTTAGAACCAGGTGGTTTTGAAATTAACTGTTTGTTTGACATCCGATCTGATCAATTTATTTAAATTGGAAATTTAATATTTATCCAGCTGGGATGGAAGAATTTCAATGTTAAGTTCGGACATAGAAGTTCTTTTGTGGAGTCTAGCCATTTAAGTTATATCAATTCTTCATTCCTATGTTTATTAGAGATTGAAAGAATTCGAACTATTGCTGACAGAGAAAATATAAATCTTGACGAGTTATAAAAGATGTGATATTAAAAGTGTAAATTAAGTGGAAAAGAGTAACCACGGTCCAGTGATTTATTTTAATTTCATGGTAAATTTGTAGTGTAATCAAATGCCCATACATATTTTAATATAATTTAATGAGGTGCTATCTGATTCATCATTTTCTCACATATTTTAATCTTTCGAACTTTAATTAAAATCTGATGTTCTTCATAGTCCACATTAACTTTTTAAATCCATTATTTACATTGTATATTATCGATAGCTAAGTTGGTTGACCACTGACTTATCACTCCTGAGGTTCCGGGTTCCATCATGGGTAACACCATTGGGATATTTCAGAGACACTTTCAGTGTTTCCCACCTACCTAATGGTACACTGGTAAGAAACCCAGGTAATCCTCGCATGTATCAGTGCTATACACTGGGTATGTATAGGAACCACTGGTGTCTATTCAATAAGAGCTAGGGACTGGTTCCCGGAGTCCATTGTATTCTCTGGAGTCTGCTGAGGTTCTAGGACCCTACTTGAAATAAGTGCTTGCACTTTCGTAGCTTAACCTTCACCGCCTGGTCTCAAGAAGTTCATCATCAGGGATATTTATGAAATAAATAAATTTGTATTTATGAAGTTTGAATTTAGAAAGGTATATAGAGTACTGATACACCAGAGTGATATTGTATTTTGGTATAAAATCACAAATACAATTATTGGACTGCCATGCATTTTTAGCTCTTTGTATCATAGTTTGGGGACCTTTCTGTTGAAAATGTGTCAGAGTTAAATCGTATACATATACATGCACAGTGCATTAACTGGAGTGCAGGTATTAGTTACTCGCACTCAAGAGCATGCCCATTGATTGGCTCATTTTTGTTGGGGTTTACTTATTGTGACGTACAGCAGAGAAAGTGAAAGCGACAGAAAAATCATATTC